TGGGAATTGTCCAGTCCTCAGGATTCATCTTCCAAATCCAGGAATCCTAGATCTGTCTAAGACCACCCCGACACTCCTCACAGGAAAGCTCACCCTTGGAGTACATGTCTGTACCCACACCATCTTCTGCAGACAATAGCAGGAGTCTACAGAGTCAGGACAGACACTATTCCCTGGACCAGGTCCCCAGCAGATGCTGAGGAGAGAAAGGATGAGGTGATAAGTTTCTGGACTCACTGGGCCTTAAGCACACAGCCTGAGCTCATTCAGAGCCCCACCACCTGTGTCCCAGCCAAGACTGGCTCTTATACTTCAGTGCCTAAAGATCTCCCTCTCCCCTCCACTGGGATAGTGGTAGGGAACATGTGCCGCTGGCTCTGTGGCCACATGCTTTATCGACTGTGCCCACACACTGCAGTGGCCTCCTATGGCTCTCTAATCCACAAAGACTGTACAAAGCAATTTTCTAGGCAGCAGCTGACACACAACTGGCAAATGCTCACTCCATGATACATAGTGGCCTCCCCACATCCTCGATTAGCCTGTTGCTGTTTATGTAACGTGTGCGAATGAGACAGTAAAGGCTCCGTCCTGAACTAATCAGATTCTAACTGCCATGGCTGTGACATCACAGTGCCAAGAAATGAAATCCAATTTCCTTTTAACCTGAAATTAACTTTCAGAAGAAAATCACTTTATCGCCCACCTCATAATGAGCTTCCAGCCAGCACCTGTGATCTAGCGGGGCACAGGGGGCCCGTCCTCCGAGGCCCGGGAACATCCAGTCTCCCAGTACCTGCCAAGCTGAGCACTAGGAGACACTGGGAGCGTTTCCACAGGGAAGCTCGCTGGCCTGGAGGCGAGTATTTGGGAAGCAAGAACAGCTGGTCAGTTGGCTGCAAATGGACAATAAACTTCTCCCCACTGCTCTCTTCTTCCTTGAGGAATCCAAGGATCATGGGATTCTAGGATGGATCCAATGTCTCAGACAAGAATTATTGCAAAACAAAGACAGCGCTCAGCTGGAATCTCCCAATAGTCTTTGCTGTATGAGTGTGGGTCATGTCTGGCAGGCTACTCTCACCCGTCCCATCATCCCACCCCTGGGCCTGCGGCTCCTGGTCCCCTCGTCATCCTGGGCCTCTGACTGCGCAGACACATGCATTCCTGCGGCATCTGGTTGGTCCAACTCCAGTTGATCCCTGGGAATGCTTGGCCCAGCTCCAGCCCCCAGCCCAGAGCCTTGCACTAACGGCAGTGTCATTGACACTGCAGCCAGCACCAGATAGCATTTAAGGGGACCAAAGAATTCAGGGTATCTGAACAGACTCAGGGCACAGCCCAGAAGCCAGAGAGAGGCCTGGCACAGATTCTCCTTCAGAGCCTTGCAAGGAATCCACATGGCCGAGACCCCAGTTTGGCCTCTGGTCTCCAGAGCCGGGGACCACACAACTCAGTCCTTAGAAGCCGCCCACTCTCTGGTGCTTTGTTCTGGCAGCTGCAGGACAGGAAGACACCTGGCCACTAAAAGTGGTTCTCAAAGAATATTTGAAGGAGCAGAAGAGGATGTCATTATAAGAGAATAAAGATGGGCTCAGAATGGAGAGGATGACTCCACCAAAATAGACTTGGGTGACTATAGACACAGAAGGAAGACAGGAGGCGAGACACCACTGTGAGCCTGGGGGGTGCAGGAGGGACTTCCCCCCATCCACCCATGTGTTATCAATTTCTCATATTCTACGACGAGACAGTGAGGACTGTCAGCCTTCCACCAGACACTGCACCTGGTACGTGCTCTGCCAGCATCCTGCGTAATCTACTCCATAGCCCCAGCACCCCCACGCCACAGACGAGAAAACTAAGGCTTGAAGAGGTCAAGGGTGGCACCCCAAATAGTCAAGCTGGAAAGGGAGGTCTGGACTCAAGCCTCAGGCCTGCATGCCTGTAGACCCTCCACAGTTACCAATGGAAACAGATTAATAAACATTATTTTAAAAATAAAATACCTTTTTTTTTTTTTTTTACAAAATTTACAAAACAATAAAGGTCAGCTTGTGACCAAGGGCAGTCATCCTGGCCTCTGAATTCTCTGTGCCAAGACCTGGCCCAGCTCCTGCAGCCCTGGAGGTGAGGGTGCAGCCCCCATCAAGCCTGGGGAGGCGGCCAGGCCTGGAACGGGCTCTGGGGGAGGGAGCCGACTGTCCAAGAACAAAGCCTGTCTGCTGGGAGAGGGCACTTGGCCTGGATGGGAGCGGGGGGTCTTCATACCTCGTCCTCTCTCCCCACACACAATGAGCCACATGCAGGCCAAGCCTAGCTCAGTGGAAGAAATGCCAATTAGCCTATAACTTCGGCAAGTCACAGCCCAGGTGACACAGTATGGACCCTGTGGGGGCTGAAGGGTCGGAGCTGCAGCCAGGGTGGCCTGGGGTCAGGCTGTGCTGCTCCCGGTGTGCCCACCCTCTCTGGTCCAAGCAGGCAGCTTTGCACCAAAGAGGCAGGAAGCAAACTAGACAGAGACGCCCCCAGCTTCCTGCCCCTGCAGCCTCTGGAGAAGGAAGGGGGACGGAGCAGCGGGGGCCAGGCCCAGTGGCTTTGCAGCCTCCTTTATCACAGCTCCACTCTGGCAGCCTCGCTCTGGCGTCCTCCTGGCGTTGTTTATTTGCGAACAAGACCCAGAGTCATCCCCCCTGGACCTCAGCCTCTCTGTAGCCAAGATTGCTCTCCTATCCATGTACCTCAGCACGTTCCCAACAGCAGCCCCAGAGCAGCACGCAGGAGGTCGACCCCGGGGAGGCGGGCTCCAAATCCAGCTGTCTGCCTGGCCATCCCTTCGCCAGAACATTCCACTTCATCTGCACGTTTTGGTGTGCTTTTGTATCTCACTTGCAGGAGGCCTTGGGCAGGCTGTCCAGCCCCTTTGAGGTTCAGTTTTCTCATCCACCCCACGGATAATGGTTCCTGTCCTGGCTGCTGCTGGGGAGGAGTGCTGGACAACACACCTGGCCATTAGCTGCCACTGTGACTTACATAGCTGCTGACAAACAGGGGCACTAATAGAACAAAAGTTCTCCCCCCAAAAAACAAATCTACTGCCACGGAATTGATTCTGACTCATAGTGACCCTATAGGACAAAGTAGAACAGTGTTAACGAGCTATAAATCTTTACAGAAGGAGACTGCGTCATCTTTCTCCTGCGGAGCTAATGGGTTTGAACTTTTGGTTAGTGGCCCAGTGTTTTAACCACTTCACCAGGGGAGCTCCTTAACAGGGGTTTTCACAGGGCAATTCTGCCCCCCATGGGGACATTTCACATTATCTGGAGACATTTGACATTGTCTGGGGACAGTTTTGGCTGTTGTGACTGTGGGTGATATAGCATCTAGTTGGCAAAGGCCAGGGATGCTCCCAAACACCCTGAAGTGCATGAGATAACTCCCACAACAGCAACAACAAAAATCCAGTCCCACACGTCTATAGTGCCAAGGTTGAGAAACGATACAGAAACTTCCACCTTGTTCATGGAGCCTGGCCCGCAGGAAGGCACAGTGAGCAGTGGCTGTTTTCTGTCACTGTTGGCTCCTCGCACACTGGAGAAGTCAAAGCAGAGAGCACGACACTGATATTCCAACAAACACACTCAGGCCAGGATGGGGACGCAGCCCTGAGCTGGAACCAGGCCCATCCAGGACAGGAAAAGGATGGGGACACAGTGGCCCAGAGCTGGAACCCATGGCTCTGGGAAGCTCCAGCTCAGAGCTGGGTGCTAGGGAGCCCTGGCACCAGACTTCATCTGTGACCTCAGGGGAGGTAGGCTTTGACTTCTGGACTTCATGGAGCTGCAGCAGGGTTGGGAGTTGTTATGATTTGAATTGGGTACCCTCAAAATATGTGTTGTCAATCCTAACCTGTATATATGTGGCTATAATCCGGAGCTCTGGTAGCATAATGCCGAAGGCACTTGACTGCTAACCAGAAAGCTGGCTGTTCAAACCCACCAGCCACCCCTTGGAAGGAAGGTTGGGCAATCTACTTCCATAGTGATACTGCCTCGGAAACCCAAGAAGGACTCCACAGTACATAACAACAACAACAATAACAACATAATCCCATTTTGGGAATGGGTTTTCTGTGTTATGTTGATGAGGCAGGATCAGTGCAAAGTGTGTCTTAAATCAATCTCTTTTGAGATATCAAAGAGATTAAACAAGCAAACAAAAGTAACAGAGAGAGGGGAAGAAAGATGCCAAGCCACATGAAGATTGCCCAGGAGCCGAAGCCCAGAAAAAACAAAGACCTTCCTCAAGGGCTGATATAGAGAGGAAGCCTTCCTAGAGCTGGAGCCCTGAATCCAGGCTTCCAGCCTCCTAAACCACGAGCCAGTCCATTTCTTTTTGTTAAAGGCCCCATCTGTGGTATTTCTTTTATAGCAATACTAGGGAACTAAGACAGGGGTGCTCTGTGGGGGTCTGGCCCAGGCTCTGCTTCAGCCCCTTCCCCACCAGGCCTGCATGCCAGGTGGCCAGGGTGTGAGGATGCTAGAGAGGATGAGGAGACAGTGGGCCCATTAATTAGGCAGCTGTCCACAACTGTTATTTCCAGAAGAGCGGAGAAAATGACACATCTCTGTCTTGGGAGGATGTGTCCACCAGCATCTTTGAAGGGGAGGACACCTGAAGCAGCTGTGCACTGGCAAAGCCAAGGCCACATTCCCTGATAGGAACTTAACCAGGACCTGCCACCTGGGAGGGATGGAGACCCCACTGTATGCCACACTCAGGGGGAAGCAGGGGTGCCCCACTGCAGCTTTGCCCCTGCTTCTCCTCCAGGTTCCCACTGCCCAACCCCATCCCCCGCCACAGCTGAAGACAGAGGCCTGGAGAGGTAAAAAGCCTTGCCAAGGGCACCTGGGTTCCCCAGTCCCAGCCTGGACTGTGTCCCTTGCACCACACCACTGCTACGCACAGACCAGGGCAAATGACCCACTTATACCTACCAGGTGCTTGGTGGCCCGCACCAACTTGTGGGTGGAGAAAGGGAAGGCCTCGTTGCTCAGGTCTGCATCGAGCACCTTCTGGAGAATGGCCCGGCTGTGAGCAAGAACAAAGCCAGTCAGTCAATCAACAAACAGTCCTGTGTGCTGGACCCTGGGCCAGGAAGGCACTGGAGACATGGCTGTGAGCAGAATGAGCCCTTGTCCTCATGGGTAGCTGGACAATGAACACATTATTAATAAAACATACCAAGACAAATACATGTCTAAAACACAGTCTGTGAGAACGCTGCTTTTCAGTGGGATAATGATGGGGATGCTAGCCCTCTGGAGACCCAGACTCACAGACAAACTGTCCATGTGCCCCCAGATGAACAAGGTGAGGCCTGGGGCAGTTATCCATCTGGTCAGCCCCTGGCTCATGGTGACCCCATACCTATGCACAATGGAATGAACATCATTTGGTCTTGTGCCATCCCCATGGTCAGTCAGTTGGGGATCGGACCATTGTGATCCAAGGGGTTTTATCGGCTGATTTTTAGAATTTGATTGCCAGGCCTTTCTTTCTAGTCTGTCTTAGTCTGGAAGCTCCACTTAAACCTACTCAGCATCACAGCAGCTGACAAGTGGTGCACACGAGGTGCATGGGCTGGGAACTGAGCGTGTGTCTGTAACATCTAATGCCACTATATCACACAGTTGGGAGGAGCTTAGGGCCAAGGCTCAGGACCCTGCCCACCAGGCCCCCCAAGTCTATATAGTTCACCTGCAGGTTCTCCTGGCCTTCCATACTCCTCCCCTCCTCTGTTTAACTGCCATCTTTCAGGTCTTGGTTCAGCTGCCACCTCCTCTAAGAGGCCTTTTCTAAATCCCAATCTGGCTAGGGTGCCCCTTGTCTGGGGTGCCACAGCCCTGATATGTCACTCATCAGGCATCTCTTGTACTGGGGACATTTACCCCCCACTAAACCAGGAGTGCCCTATTTGAATGTGCCTGGCATAAGAGAGCACTCTGAATCTAAGTGACTGAGAATGGCCTGGCTTTGTGTGGCTGGTCTGTCAGCACAGATACCACCACTTCTACCTTGCAGGGCATCCTAGCAAGGACTGCAGGAGAGGGGCCTGCTGCTGCCCAGAAGTGCTGCCAATCCTAGCCCCTACCTCCCCAAAGCTGGAGCCACCTGCTACACTGACTGAGGTGCCAGCTGTGGGCAGCCTGCCAGCATCCTTACATAACACCCATCCAGCACCCACATGGCTGCCACCCTGGAGACTGAAACTCACTAGGGTCCAGTACTTCAGGGCACAGAGGGATGGTTGCATGCAAGGTCTGGTGCTTGCTCTGGTGCCCCCTCCCTCCTCAGGCCCTGGAGTTGCCCTGGGGCCAAGGGTTTGAAGAGGCGGGCTGCTCTGACCCGGCCCTGGTGTCAGAAGGGCCATAGGCTGGAACAGTGCCTGTGGGGGCAGCTGGATTCTTGAGGAGCAGTGGCATTCAGCCAGGCCGTGTACGGGTCGGCAAAGATGGGGTAAGAACCCAGATCCTACAGAGCACTGGCTGGGGACCGGACGGCAGATTGTCCCTCCCCCAGGAAACAGCAGGGGGCGCTGGAGGCACGAACTTCCCAGTCAGGAGACCCAGGTTCAAGTCCAGCTCCTCCAGTTACCACCTTGGGGCCTCTGTTCCCTCGTCTGCTAAATGAGGACAGTGAGGCCACCCCACAGGGCCATTGTGAGGAAATAAACACAAAACACCTGTGTCAGTAACTTTCAAAGGGCTCCCTGAAGTCACTGGTCACCAATGACTCTTTAAATGTAAGCTATGCCATAATTCAAAATGCACAAACAGCAGAAGAGAAACCAGATGATTGGGACCTTCTAAAAATTAAATTTTTATGTGCTTCCAAAGACTTCTCCAAAAGAGTCAAAAGAGAACCTACAGATTGGGGAAAAATATTTGGTAATAACATATCTGACAAGGGACTTATCTCTAGAATTTATAGAAAACTCCAACACCTCAATAACAAAAAGACAAACAAGCCAATTAAAAAATGGGCAGAAGACATGAATAGACACTTCACCAAGGAGGATATTCAAGTGGCCAACAAACATATGAAGAAATGCTCACGATCATTAGCTATTAGAGAGATGCAAATCAAAACAACAATGAGATACCATCTTGCTCCAGCACTAGTAGCAAAGTTCAACAAGACAGAAAATAACAAATGCTGGTGAGGTTGTGGAGAGATTGGGACTCTCACACACTGCTGGTGGGACTGTAAAATGGTACAACCATTGTGGAAAGTAGTATGGCGATTCCTTCAAAAGTTGGAATTAGAAATACCATTTGACCCAACCATTCCATTACTAGGTATATACCCTAAAGAAGTGAGAACCATGACAAGAACAGTTACATGCACACCCATGTTCATCGCAGCACTATTTACAATAGCCAAAAGATGGAAACAACCTAGATGTCCATCAACTGAGGAATGGATAACCAAACTCTGGTACATACACACAATGGAATACTATGCAACGCTAAAGAATAATGTAGAATCTGCAAAACACTGCACAACATGGATGCACTTGGAGGACATTATACTGAGTGAAATAAGTCAATCACAAAAGGACAAATAGTGTATTAGTCCGTTATTGTAAAAGTTAAGGAAAGGTTTATCTATAGAAGGAAATTTTCTTTGTTGGTTACCAGGGGTGGGAGAGGAGGGGAGGGAAGGCTATTAGATAGAGATAAGTATTGATTTGGGTGAAGAGAAGGGCAATGTACCAAATATGAGTGACCAATATGGCAGCATTGAAGATGAGAAAGACATAGAGAGGTACATGGGAGGTACAGACAACAAATACGAACCCTTTTGCACATACAGTACTGCATTGTCAGTGAAGGCAAGCATGGGTATATGGATGGATAGATGGGTGGACAGGCTAAACGATTAGGTATGTCTATGAAATGGGGAGTGTATCCAAGAACATAGATAGGGTTGGCAGACAATGGTCCTATAAGTTTACGTGAATGATCAGAATTCTCAGGTGTATAGTAGAGCTGACAAGGGGCAAGGTTGTGGTCACTGTTTGGTCACAGCCAGCTACCCAGAGGGACTGAGTAGTTGAACCTGTGGGCTTGGGACCATAGTTGCAGGGGACATCAAGCTCAATTGGCATAACATACTATACAAAACATTGTTCCACCTCCTACTTTGGTGAGTAGTGACTGGGATCTTAAAAGCTAGCAAGATGCCATCTAGATGCAACGCTGGGTCTCTCCTTGTCCAGAGCAAAGAAGAATGAAGACAATCAAAATTCATGGAAACAATTAGTCCTAGCGACTGGTACACCATCCGATCTGCAGCCTATACAACTATGAGACCAGAAGAACTAGATGGTGCCTGGCTACCACTGTCAACCACTTGGAAGGGGAACTATGTAGGAGATCCTGGATAGAGAGGGAGAACAATGTGGAACAAAACTCAAAGTCATTTGGAGAAAAAAAAGGGGGCTACCAGGTTTGCTTGTCCAATAAAGCCTGGTGGAACCACTGAGACTAGGCCCTTAGCTGCCCTTCAGGTCTGGAACTGAACCCACACCTGTGGTTTCTAGCCAAACAAAAAACAGGCATATGAGTTAAACATTTGCCTCAAGTAGATACACTCCTTGGAGAGAACAATCTTGGGAGAAAGAAGGGCTGCTTATGCACAGGGAGACAGCTCAGGGGGCAGGAGAGTATGGAAGGATGGACACTGGGAAGAGGTAACTATGGGGAGGAAGTGGGAGGGGAGCTGTTACATTGTGGTAAACCTTGGTCAATGATATGAGACAAAGTATATGTGAAATGCTGTATGGAAAGTGAATTTGCTCTGTAAATCTTCACCCAAATCACAATATAAATAAATAAATAAATAAAATGTAAGCTATGCAATCAGATTAAACATTCAGTTCCTCAGTTGCAAGCGCCCCTTTTTCATTTTTTTATAGGCACATGTGGCTAGTGGTTACTGTGTTGGCCAGTGCAGTTTATGGAATGCTTCCAGAAAGTTCTCTCAAGTAGCAGCTCATATTGGACCTCCTAAGGTGCAGGCACTGGGCTAAGAGTACTTCCCACAAAGCAGTTCAGGGAAGTTATCAGTGGCAGTAACGTTATTATTCATACAAGAAACTTGGGTTATTTCAGAGAGAGAGAAAGAGAGAGGGCACTTTGGAGGAGAAAGTGAGGAAATGCCGGGAAGAGGAGGAGAGCTCGGCTTTCTGTCTCCCCTGCCCACCCGCTTGCAGCAGCTTATAATGAGGCTGGAGGAGGCTGGCCCAGCCCGCAGCCCCTGAGGCTGCCCTTTCATCTGTCTTTCTGGCCCCCACTCTGCTCCTCAGAGCAGCCTCCTCCACACTAAAAATAGCCCATCCCTTCCCTTGCTTCCAAGGCTCCCCCAGAGGTGTGGAGGCCAGCTCACCCAAGGAGAAGTGAGAGCTACCCCCACCACACCGGGGCACTTTTCACAACTGGCATTACTGCATTGACCCACACACTGCAGCCAGCAGTCTGTGCCATGTCATAAGGTGCCCGCCTCTGCTCACCAGGCCCAGTCCTTTCCTCTCCTCCTCTCTCAACACACCTCATCCAGCCATTGCTCTGAACGACTCCACCAGACCCCATGTGGTCATACTCAACAGTCAGTCCCCAGCCGTCATCCCACTTGCCCTACTACCGTGGGGCGCTTCTCATACCCTCTCCTTGAAGCCCCTACCTCACCTGGCCTCAGGGGCCCCTTGCCCACTGGTCTCCTCCTGCCCCTGCCTAGGCCCTTTGATTGTTCTCAGTCATCTCTTGGACCCGAGAACTGGGTGGCCCACACTCGGTGTTGGGCCATTTTGCTTCCTGAGACTCTTTGCCTTGGTGATCCTGTCCAGACCCTGGCTGGGGAGTCCCATGTCTGAAACTCCAGCCAAGCCCTGCCCCCACTGCTCCTTCTACCCTAGAACAAGTGGGACATCATTAAAGCCCAGGTCCACCTGGAAGGGCTACTCTCAGGATTAGGGGAAACTGTGGTTCAGGGCATGGCAATTCACAGGCACTCCACAAATCTCAGACATGCCAAGCTTCCACTTTTGTCCCCTCCCCATCTCTTCTCCACACCACAGCCGGAGGGAGCTCTCCTAGTGCACACTGCCAGGGAGCCCTAGTCTAAGATCTTGCTGTGGCTCATGTGTAAGCTGGCATCCAGGGGCCTGATTCCTCTCAGTTGGGCTCAGTAAACACTTATGGAGGGAACAATTGGGCAGGAGTGAGTGACTGAGTGGGAGTAGGCTCAAATGAGGAGTGAACAACTGATGGGGAGCAGGCTCACTAAACACAAGGAAGGACTGTGCAGGAGCAGGCTCAATAGATGCTTATAGAGTGAATGACTGAATGAGTGACAGGTCCATATGCAGATGTACCTTGTCATTGAAGGTATTTAGGGAGGATGTTGCAAGGAGGGCAGTGTCCCTGACATATACTCGTGGCCCTTTTGGGAGACATACACTGCACACACAGGTAGCTGAATAGATCACCCTAAGATGGGACTCATAGAATGTTAATTTTTACCATGCAGCATCCCCAACTTGGGGTTTTTATTGGAACTAGGAGAATGATCCAGGTGGCAGGTAGTTATGCTTCGAGGTGGTACACTGTCATACCTAGACTATGGCAATGGCCCAGAGTCCCCAGGAGCCCTGGATGCTGTATCAGTCCTCAGACATGACTATCAAATTCCATCTAGTTTGCAGATGAAGGACTTTCCTGAAAATGCCTTCTCTGGCATGTCTCTGGTGGTTCACAGGGTGTATAGTTAGCCAGACTATCCTATTCTAGTAAGCAAGTGGCTCTACCAGGGGCCCCAGGTGAGTGACCAGGTTCCAGGTCCCAGGTATGTTCAGATACATGGCCCCCATCCTTTCCTCACCTGGCTGGCCCCTGGATGCTGATCATGCCCAGGTCCTCAGAGCTGTCAATGAGCTGGCACCGGAATTGCTGGTCCTGTAGCATACTGGTTATATACGACCAATTGTGTTGGGCCACAGCCCCGCCCACCGCCAGGTAGTAGCCATCACCTGGAAGACAAGAACTGGTTGTAGAGAAAAAGTACAGGGGTGAAGAAGCAAGGCAGCAAGAGGGGGCAAGGGCCGCCTGGTCAAGAATAGAAATGCTCTTTCTTTCAACATGAATGACAATGATCAGAACTTTGTGACTCTCCAGGGACCCAATGCCCCATCTCCCCCTACCAAGCCCCATGGTGACCCTAAAAGGGCCCCGATGCCCAGCCTCCCCCTACCAAACCCCACAGTGACCCCTCATGCCAGCAGCTCCAAATGCAGACCCTTCACTGTGGTGAGAGGGATGGGCTCAGGACTAGGGATCCCTGAAGGTCATATCAGGGGAGGACTTTCTTGGGGTTTGCCCAAGCCTCCCATCCACTTTTCAGAGGGTCTTAATCCAGAAAACTTTAAGAATTCCTGACTAGAACACATGTCCTAGCAGGATTCTAGAGCTCAGGACTTAAGGTCTACATTGACCTTCCACCAGTGCTGGGTGACCTTGGCATATCCTTTCCCTCTCCAAGCCTCAATGTCCTCACAGCTCCTCTTCACTCCAATCTCCATGGTCATGGGGTCTCCGGGGCCCCTGCCTTGGCCAGAGCAGTGACTGACTCTTACCATGTGGCCATGTCTCCCTCCCACAGCTCCTACTGGGGCAGGCTCTGTGTGGGACTTTACATGTACTACTCCTACTCCTCACTGCCCCTGGGCTGAGGGAAGACTGGCACCCGTCAGGTTTAGACTCCAACCTGTGGAGTACCATCCGGATACTAAGGAGCTGAGGGAAGTCCCCCAGCCCTGCATCCTGAGGGGCAGTGCCCCCGGAAGCTGTGACCTCAGACCAGCTCCTCAGCCTCCAGGTCCTCATCCATGGACAGGGGTTAATATGGCTCATCAAGCAGGGCTGTTGCCAACATCTAGTGACAACCTGAGCCAGGTGAAATGGAGTGTTCATGGTGAGGGGTGGGGCCTGGGGAAGCCCCAGACCAGAGGCACAGTGTTGGTTTCCTTTACCTCTATTCTATGCACCCCCAGCCTTCCAATCTTCATGCTTATTTTGACAGCCCCCTCCCACTTAGTTCCACTGAATCACTCCCCAGGCCCCAGTTTTCTGTCCTGCAATGGGGATGCAACTGGATGAAGGAACTCAGGAGCCCAGCACACAGACAGCACCAGGAAGTAGAATGGTGCTGGTGAAGTTGCCCATGCCCAGGGTCCAGTCCTTTGAGGGCTATGCTCTACCCCATGGGCACCATCTATTCTTGCCTCTCCCTGGGCTGCTAGGCAGGAAGGAGGAGGAAGGGGCCAGAACAGGAAGCAGCCAAAGCCTGCTCCAAGCCCTCCCTGCAGGGCTGTGGGCAAGGAGTCAGGGCCAGAGGACACAGTGGCTGTGGGAGGCAGCTAGGAGGAAGGCCTGGGAGGCGGGGACATCTTCTCCTTGGCTACCCCCCCCCCCGGCCCCACTCGCCCCCAGGTCTCCAACTGCAAGTGGAACAACATGTCAGGGTGATAATCACACAGCCACCTACTGTAATTGAAAAATAGCTATGCTTGGCTTCTTCTCTGACAGGAAGGAGAATTGGGCTGTGGGCTGCCCAGGAGCTGCTCTGCAGGGAAGGTCCCAGTTGGGCTGGGACCCTTCACCTAGAAGTGTACAGCTGAGACAACCCCATCCCAGGGACCCTGGCTGGGGAGGACAAGGAGCAGAAAGTACATGCTCAACTTCTCAGCCGAGACCTTCGGCAGCAGCTGGTCCTGACCACCCTCCTCCCACCCCATCAAGGCAAGCCCTTGGGCTTCTTTATCTCATCACCCCACAAGTTATGTGTGCCTCACTCCCTCAATCCTGCCAGTCCCTCTAGACCCAGCTCAAAGCTCTCCACCTCCAGGAAGCCTTCCTCGAGCACCTTTATGGTGTGCCCACCTCTGGGGTCATATCCCAAAGGGATCCCAACTAGGATTCTTCTCCCAGGCCTTTCTGCAGCCCCCAGGATTCTCATTTGCTGGCCCAGCCCACCGTCCCAGTCCCAAGCCATCATCTCAAAGCCCAAATATCACCACATCATACCCTTGCTCTCTGTAGCCCTCAGGACTGGCTAGCCTTCCCCATCAGCCCATGGACCCCCATGGCCTAACCACCCCCCGTCCCGCCCCATGCCACACCCTGGCTCTGGTCCGCTTCACTCTGTTCCTAGGACCTCCTGCATGTTCTTGTCTGGGAGCCACTGCTGCCCTGTGAGGGCCTGACCTATCCCCCCTCCCCTCCGAGTCCATCTCAAGCATCACCTCCTCCAGGAAGCCTGTCTGCCTTGCCACACCAGTGGAACACTTATTGCAGATGGGGCCCAGCCTGTTGGAAGGACCTCACTCCAGTCTCCACACCAGGCCTATGCATGCATATCTTTTGTCCATGAGCCATGGCTGGGCAGAAAGACCTGTGCCCCAAATTCCTACCATATGCCCCTTTGGAGACCCCTCCACATCGCTACACCTCCTACCCAGGAGGACATTGTCTTGGGAAAAGCACAGACTTTGGCATCGAAGTAGCCTGGTCCAAAGGCCAGTTCTGTTACTTTCTGGCCTCACTCACTTCTTTGAGACTCACTTTCCTCGTCTGTAAAATGGGCAGAAGTATACCACCCACACCAAGGGCTATTGAGAGCCATCTGCTAGAGGAAAGACCCTCACGACACCAGCCAGGCTCTGCCAAGTATTGCCTCTCCCTTCCTCTTCTTGAAACTAATGAGCACAATAGGGGGTAGGAGCCAAAGAGACCTCTTGTTCCCAGAGGCTCCCCACCTCCAGGCTGGGATACCACAGGATGTTGGGGTTCCTGAGGACTTGAGTCTCCCCAAGTGTCCTCAGCCCTGTGCCAGATAAAGGCGTTCCGTCATCCCCCATACTCACTGTGATGCTTGGGCCCCTGGACCCCATGGGTCCGAGCCCACCTGTGGCCATCCAAGACTGCTCCCAGGAGGGTGTGAGAATGACTGAGGCCACCCAGGGTCTGCAGGGATGGCAGCTGGACCTGGCCTCCATTAGGCCACCATCCTCGGTCACCTCCACTGAATACCAACGTTTGCACCCTGAACCCCAGGCCAGTGAGCAGCACAGGGTCCAGGCTCAGGGCCAGCACAACTGGGGCAGGAGCAAGGTCAGTGGGGAGAGGTCGGCCTCCCCACTGCCTGCCACTGTATCACCTAGGCCGGGGCTGGTGGGGGCTGTGAACGTCTTTCATTCTAACCTCTTCTGTATTGTCAAAATAGTCCCTTTGAACATGTATTCTTTTTGTAATAGTCTTAAAACTCAATAAAGATATTTTAAATTTATATTTAAGATGGACACCTGCTTTGCATACAACCTGATCAAGTGGACGTGACCACAGGCTCTTGACTTAATTGTGATCTGATGTACTGGAATAATGAATACATCCATCAAATATACATGCATATTTAACTGACATGTATATTCACATTGTTATTGTTATGTGCCGTGGAGTCGGACCCGACTCATAGTGAGCCCTCCTTGGGTTTCTGAGGCAGTATCACTACGGAAGTAGATTGCCCAACCTTCCTTCTGAGGAGTGGCTAGTGGGTTTGAACTGCCAGCCTTCTGGTTAGTAGTCAAGTGCCTTAGGCACTACGCTACCAGAGCTCCCTGTATATTCATAGCAGGAATGGAAAGTTTTAAACCTAAAAATAAGTCAGATTCTACACCTGGTTTTCTCACCTTGCCTGTCCCAGGGCCACTGCCTCAGGCCCTCCTACTGTCACACACACTGGAGGTCCTATGCCCAAGTATGCAAACTGTCTGCCAGGCGGTCACTTCCTCGCACCCAGAAGTGCCACCTGCACAAACCAGTTAGCACTTTTCCCTCCCTTCTCTCCAGAGTCTGCTCTCTCCCTTCAGGTTCCTACAACACATGCTCAGTACCCCTCAACTCAGAGAACCCACTGGAACCCACCAGAATCCACTGGAACTCTCTGGAAGGGCACATCACTATGCACTCTTGGGGGCGTGGGTAACTCAGTCTGTAATGCACTTTCATGACAGAGGGGAAACTGAGGTTTGGGGAGGCTGCTCCCAGCCCTCCAGGTACCACCAGGGCTGCTGCCTCACAGCAGCCCTGGAGTAAAGGGGTCCTCTTATCGCCATTTCACAGATGGGAAAACCGAGACTCAGAGAACCAGGTCATAGGGCTGTCAGTTAAATGGCTATCAGCACAGACACTCATCTAGGGCCAGGTGGCAGCCAAGCTCTCTAACCGGGCTGAGCCCTCTCAACCAGTAGTGAACCTTTCCTCAGGGGGCACATTTTGGTGGCAAGCCCCCCAGCTAATATCTCTCCCCTCTGTAAATCCAGTCTCTCAGAAGTGGTCATGGGGTCCCTTCCTGGAAACCAGTATGTATCCTGCTCTCTGCAAATCTCAGCTAGCTTTCTTATTCCCTGATGGAGATAGGTTACAGGCCTAGACATGAAGCTGCTTCTGTGTGAACCAGGGTGCAGGGCCAGGGAGTTAAATAATGGGAGGCAGACCTTGGCTCAGTGTAGTAGTCAGGGCTATACAAGCAAGGAATGATAGGTACTGAGTTCCCCATCACAGAGGGCATACAAGTAGAAGTGGAGGGACTACAGAGGGCAATCCAGGTATTAGCCTAGCTATCCTTTAAGAACCTTCCAAGTCTGAGACCAGGAGTTATGTGGGCACTGAGAAAGCTGGCAGAGCACAGCTGGTGACAGAAAGGAGCTAACCCCTCTGAGTGGGAAGCAGGGTCTTAGGCTCAGCACACTATTCCGGGCAGCCATGCTGAGCACGCCCACACTGCTCTCAAATGCCATGGTGCAGAAAGGTTCAAAGACATAATTTCTGAGTGTGCCACACTCCGGCATTGCTGCCTGCAGGAGGCCTGCAGACAGTGGAGGTGAGACCTCTAATGTCCCAGGCCCTGACCATGGCAGGCATGAGTAATTACAGACCAGACCAGCCCCCTGCGTCCTGCCATCAACGGCCACTCTGTTATTGGAGCAGGGGTGCAGCCACAGTCCCCTGTACCCCCAGAGGTCTCTCTTACCTTCAAAGGTGGGGGCCAGTGGGGAGGCCTGGGACCCAGGGTCCAGGCGGCTAACAGTGAGGTCACTCTCTGTGCCCCCTCGATGGTTCAGCATGCAGGTGTACACAGTTGAGCCTGGGGACAGGGATATACCAGGTCTGTGCTGGCCCCACAGCACATGAGCAGCCACAGGAGTGCTGAGCTCTTTATCACAGGGGAGAGTCACAGAGGCTGGGTCACCACTTGGCAGGATGTGCCAGTAGGGAATGACCTCAAAAGACCTCTCAGTTTTAGGATTCCACTGTGACTGAGTGTCCCTGAGAGGGCCAACAAAAGGCAAGTCCTGACATTGTCATCACAGGGCAAGAAAAGATTCAGAAGGAAGCTTCTTTCTTTCCACTGGCTCCTCCCATTGCATTCCCCGACCCTGAGAAGGGTTTGAGGACAAGATTCATGTCTTACTCATATTGGTGCTTCAGTACCCAACACTGTGCCAGCTACACCAGGTGCTCACTGAATGGCTGTTGAATAATAAGTGTGTGGATGGAGGATGGAGAGATGGATGGATGGGAAGTTGGATGTGTGGACAGATAGTAGATGGATGGGTAGATGGATAGGTAAGGGGATGAATGGAAAGTTAGATGGGTGGATGGATATGTATTTGGACAAGATGGACAGGTAGATGGATGGGTAGGTTGATGGGTAGATGGAAGGGTGGGTGGGTACTTATATAATGTTCATATTTACTATTTATTCTCCATTTTTTATTGACTACATCTAGCAACCCTATCTGGGGAAGTCACTCATTCCTGGGGAATCCACCACCCCCCATCCCAGGAAACATGAGAATCAGCTGTCTCGAATCTTTCTGGAATCAAGTCAACAAAAAGGGGGCGGGAGATGAGGTGAAGGAGGGATGGAGGGAGAATGGAAGAAGGTGGTGAGGTCCTTGAGCCTGAGGCTTAGTGATGAGAAAAGCCAGGCCTGGGCAGAGGGGACTGGACAGAAGGGCCCAGGGCCAGGCTGAGGGGGAGGAGCAACAGGCTCCAGGAGCTCAGAGGGGTTCACTTGTCACCTCATTTCAGTGCCCAGGGTTGTGTCCACAGTGCCCTGTCTGGCACTGAAATGTGAGGGCTCCATACCTGGGGGCCGGCTGACATCGGCAGAGAAGAGCCAGTCTGCAGCCTTCCTCGCTTCTGGTCCCACCAGGTAGAACTTCCCAAAGTAGGACATGTTGAACACAGCAGCGGCCCCTCTGCAAGCCAGACACTCCTTCTTGATCTGCAAGTCCAGGCAGTGGGGATGCGGTGGGGGGTTTTGAGTGTGCATTCTCCACAAGAGCACGGGGGCTGGTGCTTTTTTCCAGCACAAATACTCCAAGCTTCCCTCTCCCCCTAGTAAAGTTCCCTGTTGTCCATTCCCTTCCCAGATCCACAGCCCATCCTGAAACATTCTTCTCAACATTAGGAACATTCTTCAGAACAGATCATATGTTAGGTCATAAAGTAAGCCTCCACAAATTCGAAAAGATTAAAATCAAACAAAGACTATTATCTGACCACAATGAAATTAAATTAGAAATGAATAACAGAAGGAAAATTTATAAATAAACGGAAATTAAACAACACTTTCCTAAAATAAGGAGCTCTGGTAGCATAGTGCCTAAGGCACTTGACTGCTAACCAGAAAGCTGGCGGTTCAAACCCACCAGCCACTCCTCGGAAGGTAGGTTGGGCAATCTACTTCCGTAGTGATACTGCCTCGGCAACCCAAGGAGGGGTTGCTATGAGTCGGGTCAGACTCGACGGCACATAACAACAACAACAACAACTCCTAAAATAAACAATGGATCAAAGAAGAAATCACAAGGGAAATTAGAAAGTACTTTGAGACAAATGTAAACAAGACTAATAAACCAAAATTTATGGGAGGCAGCTAAAGCAATGCTCATGGGAAATTTATGCCTGTACATACTTACATTAAAATAAGAGATCTCAAATCAGTAACCTGACCTTCTACCTTTAAGAAACCAGAAAAGACTCAAAGTGAGCAGAAGGAAAGAAATAATAAATATTAGAACAAAAATAGAGAATAGAGAAAATAAACAAAACAAAACTTAGTTTTTTTTTTTTTAAATGAACAAAATTGACAAGCCTTTAGCTAGAGTGACCAAGAATTAAGAGAGAAGACACAAATTACTAAAATCAGGAATAAGAGAGGGGACATCATTACTCACAGAAATAAAAAGGAATAACTGTATAATAATGGCCAAACCTATAAGATAACAAATTAGATAACATGAAATGGACAAATTCCTAGAAAGACATAAATTATTGAAACTGACTCAAGAAGAAATAGAAAATTGAGTAGACCTATACACAGACTGAGGAGCTCTGGTAGCATAGTGGCTCAGGCACTTGACTGCTAACCAGAAGGCTGGCAGTTCAAACCCACCAGCCACTCCTTGGAAGGAAGATGGGGCAATCTACTTCCGTAGTGATACTGCCTAGGAAACCCAAGGAGGGGTCGCTATGAGTCGGGCCGACTCGACGGCACACAACAACAACAACAACAACATACACAGACTGAATTAGTAATTTTCAAATCCCCTACAAAGAAAATCCCAGGTATAGATGGCTTCACTGGTGAATTTTACCAAACATTCAAAGAAGATTAAAACCAATCCTTCACAAACTTCCCAAAAGCAGAAGAATAGGAGGCACTCCTCAGTTCATTGTCAAAGCCAATGTTACCCTGATACCAAAACCAGGTAAGAAATCATAAGAAAACTTGAAACCAATATCCCTTATGAACATAGACACATAAAACACTGTAAAATATAAAGACAAACAAAACACTAGCAAACCAAATATAGCAACATATAAAAACCATTACCACCATGATCAAATGAGCTTTATCCTAGGAATATAAATTTGGTTTGACATCTAGAAAGCCATTAATGTGATTAAAAAAAAATTTTTTTAAATCATTGCCATCAAGTCAATTCCAACTCATAACAACCCTATAGGATGGAGCAGAACTGCCCCACAGGGTTTCCAAGGCCGTAATCTTTAGGGAAGCAGACTGCCACTTCTTTCTCCCACTGGAGGGTTCAAACTGCTGCCCTTTTAGTTAGCAGCTGAGGGTTTAACCACTGTGCGACCAAACCTCCTTAATTAACATGATTAATTAACAATATGATCACCTCAATAGAAGCAGAAAAACTATTTGACAAATTTCAACACCCATTCATGATTTAAAAAACAAAACAAAACAGAAATCTAAGACGAGGCAGGAACTTCCTTGGCCTGAAAAAGGGAATCTACAAAAAACCTAGTTTATATCATATTTAATGGTGAAAGACAGAATGCTTTTCTCCTGAAATCAGGAACAAGACAAGGATGTCCACACTCAAGACTCTTACTCAACATAGCCTTGGAGATTCTAGCCAAGACAACAAAATAAGTGTTGTATGTCAGGAGCCTGCATCGTCTCCTCCAAGCCTCACAGCCCTGTCCCAGGGGGTAACGACTTCACATCCTCAAGAGCCCTCTAAGGCCCAGGGAAACCCAGTTAGGCTCATCTTCTCATCTTCTCATTCCATGATGTCAAGTTGGACGACTGGGCTCCGACATGGTGGGCGTATTTACACTTTGGAAATTGGCACCGTGACACCTATTTGATTCCTGTGCTCCTGGATGCTGCTATTCCTCCTCCCTCCAGACATCACTGCCCCTTACTGAGCGCCTGCTCTGTCTGCTGAGAGTAGTCTTTGCTGAAGCTGCTGGGGTTGCAGACCAAACCCAAAGCCAGCTTCCTGGCTGCAGCACGTCTGCTGGGCTGGGGATGCTGCCAGTGCTGGAAACAAGTACAGGTTTCATGCTTCAGGACTGTTCAGGCGCGTTGGCGGAGGCTGTGTGAAGCCTCAAAGCCAACTTGGCATGTCCTCAGAACTCCCACATCCTAGAGTGCCAGAACGTCCAACAGGCTTTAGGCTTTAGACGCTACAGACCAGAGGTGCCAGACAAGCAGCACTTACCTCCACCCTGGAGGCTGCCCTGAGGGGCTCGAGCCCTGAGATGGGCCTTACGACATAGTCTTCCAATGCCTTTACCTGATATGTTATCACTAGAGCAAGCTTTGAAGGAAATGGTGGGAATAAGTGGTTCCCACTCATCAATGGAAGGAGTTCCTGTGTGTTACACAGTTAAGGAGCTCAGCTACTAAAAGTTGGAGGTCTCGGGGGTGGGGGGTGCTCAGAAGAAAGTCCTGGAGATCTACTTCCGAAAAATCAGACATTAGAAACCCTATGCAGCAGTTCTACTCTGATACTTGTACAGTCGCCAAGAATCAGAATTGACTCCACAGCAGCTCTCACTGCCATGGAGTTGATTCCGACTCATAGCGACCCCCATTGGGTTTCCAAGGTGATAAATCTTTACAGAAGTAGATTGCTCCATCTTCCTTCTATGGAGAAGCTGGTGGGTTGGAACTGTCAACCTTCTGGTTAGCAGACAAGTGTCTCAGGCACTACGCCACCAGAGCTCCTTCTATGACAACTAGTACCCTCCAATGGAAACCCTACGGATCACAATGTCCAATCACCAACTGATCATGAGGCTGGCACAGGATCAACCAGCGTTTCATTCTGTTGTGCATGGGGTCTCCATGAGATGTGGGCTGACTCGATTGCAGCTAACAACTCCAGGACAAGCTCCATTATCTATGGGGTCCAGAGTAAAATGAAAGTGGGGACTTTATTCAGAATTTATGAAGACTCTCAAGATGGTGGCAACAGAACCCAGAAGTGAGCCTGGCCAGGAGTGGCTAAAGGTAACAGGAAGGTCTAACAGGCTCCAGGGATCCCCAGGAGTGAGAACTGGCTCGGCCCCCCAATCAGGTACAGTGGAGTTCATGCCCTCTCCAGTGTGGCAACGTACATTGGAACAACATATTTGTTATATTTGGGGATCAATTTGAAAATTGCTGGGGCAAGCTCCGGTGGACACTGGGGTGTTGCTTCTGCAAAAACTGCCTGAAAGAGCATTCCTGTGAGGTAGGAAAGCCTGGCCCCCAGACCTTGTCCCCACTCCATCCCAGCCCTCCCACCCTGGAAGTAGGACAAGCCCCTGGTGGGGGCGATGAGGCTCCAAAGCTCCACCTGGGCAGCCTGGCTGTTCAGCCCTCCCCACACACCCTCTGGAGTGGGCCTGGACTGGTTTCTGCCTCTCTACCCTGGGGGCTGGCCTCCCAGGGCCAAGCTATCTGGAGGCCAAGCCCAGGACCAGTGGCCCATCTAGTCAGGCTTTTCCTCCTTTTGCAGAGGGGACCATGATGTGTCCAAGGGGATGATGAGGAAGTGGGTTGGAGGCATTGTTCTTCACCAAACGACCCTGCCTGGATCTATTGTCCAAGAACTGGGGCTGAGGCCATGGGGCCCACTGCATCCAGCTCAGGAAAGGTGCACCCCACCCAACAGCTCATGGCCTCAGGCAGCTCTCGGGCCCAAAGCAAACAGGGCACAAAGTGGAGATGCTCCTGGCCGGGGATCACACAGCCACACCCAGCTCTGCTGCTTCTCAGGCCTTTCTAAACGCACCCTCAGTCCTGGCACAGATGGAAGGAGAAAAGAACATACCTCACAATCCTACCTCAAAACGAAGTCAACAAAAACAGGTTCAGAATCCCACGGAGCCCGTGGGTCTGCTCCCCGACGGGTCCCGCGCCCCGGGAAATCCCACGGAGCCCGTGGGGCCCTTCCAGGACCAGGGAGAGCCTGCCCCTACAGGAACGCAACCCCTGTCCCCCTCTGGAGATGGACCCCAGCCCCACCTGAACACAACCCCTGTCCCTGTGTAGATAGGGCTCCCGCCTACTTACAACATCATGGTGGGGAGGGAAGCCAAAGGTGTACTCATCCCCCAGCAGCCTGTTGTAGGCATAGTCCTTGTGCAGCTTGTGCCCGTAGGCCCCGTAATAGTCGTAATCAAGGACCTGGAGACAGAGGTTGCCGCCACCACTGGTCATCCCTCTTCTTCCCCTCCCTCCATCCTTTCTTCCTTCTCTCTTTCTTTCCTTTCTTCCCTTTTCTTTTCTTTCTCTCCCTTCTTCCCTCCCTCCCTCACATCCTCTCTTCTGTCCACACACATGGCCAGGTGTGCAGTGGGTAGCAGACACTGAGCTGGGGACAGACATGAACAGGACAGCCCAGCCCTGGTCCTGTCTTCACAAAGTGAGTGTGCGGTGCTGTAGGGGTGGGGGGCCAGGCAGTCAGTAAGCAGTTACCCCAATATCCCCTAAGCACCATGGTGGTGGGCACTGAGAGGGTAGGGTAGGCACCAGAAGGAGAAGAGCTGGGTGACTCCCTGGTGGGCTGAGGTGGGGAAGGATGGAGCTGAGGGGAGGCAAGGATGCATGGCCACTGTTAGGCTTCCAGTCTCATCTCAAGGCAGTGAGGGAAGCCCCAGGGACCAGGCTGGAGTGGGGGGTGGAAAGAAGGGGGGGGAGGGTGGGGTGGGACATCAGGGGATGGTGCCAGTACTATTAGCATGGTGATCCTGAACCAAGTGATTGAAGGCTGAGCCCAGCTTCAAGTGCTGCAGGTGGGTGAGCCCATGAGAGCCTACAGGGGAGTGCCTGTCTACACTGGGGAAATCGAGGCACAGAGAGGTACCTTGTCAAGGTCACACCAGAACCCATTACGCTGGGATAGAACTCCAGTTGAGGCAGGCTCAGGGCTGTTTCTCACCCCATTCAACCTGGACTCTCTCAGAGCTCCCCTTCCAGTGCCCCTCTCCCTTCCCAACTGTGCACACCATGAGGAGGGGTGAGCAAGCCCCTCAGCTCTCACCTCCTTGCAAGTTGCCCCCCACACTCTGAGTCTCACCTCTTTCATCAGCCCCTTCTCACAGGTAAAAGACTGGTAGAAGGTGACTCTTGAGCCCAGATCAAACCTTGGAGTTCATGGAGGGGTTTTTACAGGGGTCTCTCCAGGGAGTAGTTTCCCTGGGTCCCCTGTGGCCTGGGCCAGGGTCAGAGGCTTCGGGTTCTGCTCACCCAGGCTCCTAGGCTGACTTCAAGAACCGATTCTGGGTGGGGGTGCAAAGCCTGCCTGTCTGAGGACCGTGGGCGTGCTCCAGTCCTCACTCCAGTCCCTCTCCATGCCTGCCTGCCAATGCCAGGGGAGGGGCATCTAGGGCCAGAGCCCACTGGAGCAGGAAGACCTTGCCAGGGGCCACTGACAGGCTAGGGTCTCACTACTCCTCCACTTAGTCACTGGGCCCTCAGCCTGCAGGGCAATGGCCACCCACGGCACCCTATTCTCCCAGTAGATTTGCCTACGTGTTGGACCCTCATTACGTGGGGTCTCTGTGCTCCTGGGTGGGTGGGGGGGTGTCTCTACCAGTCAAGGGAACAAGGGGCAGTGGCTAACAGGAGCCACAGCCCGGGAACAGTTTTGGCTCAGGTCTCACCCACCGAGGCCCTGAACTCAGGGGACCTGGGTTGCTATGGTGATGGAAGCCAGGCTGAACCGGAAGGGGATTGGTAAAATAGCCCCAGGAAGGGCTGGGATTTGTACAGATTGGGATCAAATCCTACCCTCATATGGGTCTCAAAGCACGCATCGACAACTCTGGAGGCCGCCCACGTCTTGCAGGCGGGCTCATTTGCTGGTTCCCAGAGGCTCCACTCATGGGGAGCCCAGAGCTCCTGGAAGGCATCCAGGGGCCGGACACTGTGACATCTCAATTTATAAACAGCACACTCTGAGGTATAATTTTGTACTCAATCCATCACTCCCTCAGATGAACATAAACTCGCTATTGCAGTTGCCAAAAAGACAGGAACACAATTATGAAATTATGTTAATTTCTTATACACACTGAGGCTTCTACACTTCTCCCCATGTGATTCCAGGTTTCTGGGGCCCTGGCCTGATCCGAGGCATGGAGGCCTTGCTGCAGGGGAAGGGAGGTGACAGCATGTGTGAAGGCACATTCCCAAGGAAGGTCCTGAGCACTCATGGGTGATGTGGGGTGGGGAGTGCCGCACACTGTCAAGAAACCACTAGCCCAAACCCAGCATCCAAAGGGAACAGGATGGTCTCGCTGTGGGGGAGGAGGTAGGGCAGCCATCTCAGGCAGGAGGGTGGGAAGGTGGTGGGAGAGGGGTGAAGGGCTGGGGCAAGCCAGGTCCTTGAGCCAGTGGGCAGGCCCTTCTTGGAGTCCAGGCCCTTCTTGAAGTCCACTCACCGGAGCTGCCCCACGGGGACTGAACCATCCAGGTCGCTCCCAGCCGTGCCGCTCCTGGAACACGCAGCCTTGCCGCAGGAGTTCCTGGGTGGAGGAGAGGGGGAGGAATAGGCACTTTGGCTCTGGCCAACAGCTAGCACCAGGCCCAGAACACCCCGTGCAGGGCAGAGAGCAGCCTCAGGGGCACTGTGTCCACCTCCACCACCTCAAACCTGAGGGAATGAGGGCCGGGAGGTCCCTGCACTCAGAAAAAGGGCCCAGAACACCCCATACTGCCTCTTTCTAAGAGTCCTACCTGAGGGTGGAAGGCCTCTGGGGCTTCAGTGATGGGCGCTGTCAGCCAGCACAGCCTTTGGGCCACCAGACTCCCCGGGGAGTGGGTGTTGTGGTCACACTGCCACTCAGCGGCCCCCGATATGTTCCCTCTGGATTCTGAGGGAGTGTCATCAAGGATCACCACCTCCTATCCCAGTGAATGATGGAAAGGTGTGACCAGCAGATGGTGCCCTCCAAGGAGGGGCTCTTCCTCTCAAGATCTCACACATTGGGGCAGACTTTTATTTTAAAAAAAGAAAAAACTTGAAGTGGTGGCTACGTGTCCCAGAAGGGTGCTTGGAGGAGGAAGAGTGGCAGTGGAGTTGGGACCCCTACCCAGGGAGGTGCCACAGCCCTGCCCCATCAGGTAAACCTATGACATTAATGCCAACTCCCTTGAGCATACCAACACACCCAGAGCTCTCAGGGGTGGCGAGGGTGACTGAGAGCACCGGGATGGCACTGGGACGGGGGGTGGGGAGATGCTGGCCCTCGTATGGCCTGAGATCACAGCTGGTGTACCAGGTCGGGCCAGTGGCCAGAGCCTGAAGGTGCAGGCAGTCTGGACACTGACCAGTGATGGCTTTGGGCCTTCTCACAGGAAATCCAGTGGGAGTTCCTCTCAGGGCCAGGCACTGAAGCCCCAGATGAGGGAAGCCCTTTCCCCACCTTAAATGCCTGCCTGCCACCTCCCCTCCATCCCTCTCTGAGCACCTGCTAGGTGTCAGGCTCTGTGCTAAATCTTAAGAAACCAGAATGACTAGGACACAGGCCCTGCTCCCATGATGTGAAGCAAAACAGGCATGGGCCACAGATGGGAGCCCAGGGAAAGAGCACTTAGGTCATCAGGGTCTGGATGGCTGTGCAAGGGCAGGCCCCAGAGAAGGGCACCTGACAGTGAGTTTCACTGTATGAGTAGAAGCTCACCAGGTAGGAAGGGTGTCTCAGGCAGGCTCTCGAGCCCATCTTCCCAACATGTTGCTGACCGGCTGCTCACTTTTCTGATCTGTAACAGTACACACCTGACTCTGCACTGCCCCTGAACCCACCTTACAGCACTTCTCTCAATTTACATGTGTGCCCTTGTGTATTGTCTGTCTCCTCCACTGGAACTTAGGCCCCTTGGTGGGAGCCATTTCTACTTCATTCCACAATGTGTCCCCAGCCATGAGCACAGTGCCTGGTCCATTGGGGTGCTTGGCAATTATCTGGGAACAGATGAGGCCCCCATCACTTCACCTGCCCTGCAGCTGAGGAATGATGTGCACTGCTATCTCCCTAGAACTCTGAGGAGTTCTCAAGACAGCTTGGGACACTTTTCCCACCTGGCAAGCTTCTACTCATGCAATGAAGCCCACCACAGCCTAGTGCATAGTGGAGCTGCTCAGGGATGTACCTCGTGCAGGGGGTCTTTTCGCATGTTGCGCCCAGCCAGGGGCTCATCATGGGGGAAGACAACAGAGTAGTTCTTGGCGTAGGACTCATGGCTGCGCTCACGGACCCAGCGGTGATGGTCAGTAAGTGAATGATGGAACCGCCTGTGCAGACAGAGTTTAGGTCACTGCCTTGGGATAGCATCAGGAAAGCCAGCCAGACCCCACCAAACCAGACACTGGCCCCTCTGGCAGAATCCCATGCTCTGGGTGCTCAGCCTCACCCCTGCAACCCCCACATGGGGGAACACTGAGGGACACTCCAGGCAGTGGGACAGGCTCTCTCCACACCACCAAGGTTTGAGCACTGCATCTATCTGGGCACCTCCTGCCCACCTAGCTCCGAGCAGACCCTGCCAGGGGCTCAGAGTCCAAACAACCTGGTCTAAGTCAAGGTCTTGAAAGCTTGGGGTCAGCAGACATGCCAGACGCCATGCCCTTTCTTGTCACTGAAGAGCCCTTTCTACCTGAGGGATAGAGGCCATGGCTTGCCAGTTAGGTCCCACCCGAAATCTGTGGCTCTGAAGCCAGGCTCTTCAGATTCCAGCCCCACTCTCAGATGTGCGTCTGCCCCTCTACTAAGCAGGGGCAGGGTGCAGACGCCTCAGGCGCATGCATGGTCTGACTCAGCTGGTGACTCAGTCTCTAATTTGTCTCCACATGCTCACTCTGTCTTCTCTTTGGGTCTGGGTCTCCCTGGTTGCCTTAGCTCAGGCCCAGGTGGAAGAACATTGGGTCAGTGTGGGTGGTAGCAGGTTGCCCCCTCAGGCAGATGTGTTGGGTGGGTCCAGGAGCCCATGCCAGTGACTACTCCTGCCAGGATGACATTCACTGCTCTCTGGGGCTCAGCTAGCTCAGCTGAAGGATGTGGCTCAGTGGACTCCTGGGCCAGAAGAGTGGGTGGACACAGTTCCACGGCCCCACCGGGCCCAGGGCTCTCGAGGCTCCCTTCCTGCCCAGGTCTCCAGAAGAAGCAGCTAGCAGCCTCAGCCAGACATCATGCCCCAAATCATTCTCACCAAGGTCTCTGTGTCTAAGGAAGGGACTAATGCAGGAAGGACAGACTCATTCCCAGGTGGCAGGCCCTCTCAAGGCAGTCTTCGTGCCCCCCACCTCCACAGCCCATGAGTTAACATCATGCCTGCCAAATGTGAGCCACGCTGCCCCCAGAGCCTCCCTCCTGCAGAGGCCTCCCCTGTGGCCTCCCTCCATGGCCTCCCACAGCCCATGCAGACAGCTGTCAACCCATTCTGCAGTCAAGTACATTGAGGCAAGAGCAGAGGTATATCTAAGGTATGGGAGACATAGCACATGCCCTGGGCACCACTGGAAGGGGACCCATTAGCAGTTTCTATTAACAGTTTCCATCACCAGCTGTGAGAGATCATTCAGTAAGTTAAAACTAATACTTTCATACTTAAAAGCCTCCATGGGTTAAGGAAGGAGCTCTGGTGGCATCCGGCAGCTAACCAAAAGGTCAGCAGTTTGAATCCACCAGCTGCTCCATGGGGAAAGATGAGGCAGTCTGCTTCCAAAAAGATTGACAGCCTTGGAAACCCTATGGGACAGTTCTATTCTGTCCTATAGGGTCACTATGAGTCAGATTTGACTCGATGGCAGTGGATTTGGTTTTGGATGGGTCAGGGCAGACTGTGGGATCTTGCTCTGCTGAGGGTAGAAAGAGAAGAAACTGGAAACAATGACTTGGAACCCATCATAGACCAATTGTCATCAATGAAAGCAAGGAAGATGCAGTTGTCATTTTCATGTGGTTCCATAATGTGTTAATATAATATGAGTGAACTTGCCTTGTATTTTGAGCTGATATGATGGCAAAGTTGTCTAAGAGATGGGTGTCAGCTGTTTGTACAGGGGTGCCATTTCAGCACATGCCACGAGCGCTGTTTTCCATAGACACACCTCCAAGCAAGGGAAGCTGCAGAGTGGCCCCTGCTGGCCTGATTACAGAGCGGACGCTCCAATCCCAGAGAGGCAAGCACAGAGGACAGGTTCCGGGTGGGCTCTCTCCAGGACTGGGTGACCTCCCCTTTGGGCCTTCTGTTATGCTTTTTGCAGTCAGAGGGGGCTGGACTCCCATCCCCAAGGCCCCCTGCAGCTTTTTCATTTCTGGAACATTGCTCCCCTGGGAGAACTCATGGGCACAGTCCAGATAGGCTGCAGGGTACACCAGGTACCAGGGAGGGGTGGAGTGGGGTCTCAGTGTCTGTCCATCATCTCTGTGGGGGCCCCTCCTCCCCAGACCTCAGCAGGCCAAGGAGGGTGAGGTTAGAGGTGAGCAACAGAGGGTGGGGGTCACAAGGGTCCTGCTGAGCTGTACTGGCACCCCTTTCACTCCCACCTCTGGCCCTGCTGAGCACTGGGGTCTGCAGCAGCTCCAGGGTGCTATCTGCCAGAGCAGTGATAGGGGCAGGAGCTAACAGGCTGCAGTGTGGGGCCTTCTCCGAGCTGATCCACCTGGACCACGTCCAGCAGGGAACATAGGTGAGGCCCAGGGCACAGGAGGCCAGGACCACAGGCCCCCAAGTCCTGTCCTCACTGTGCTAGCTGGTCACACGAACACCTGGACCTCCCCTCCATGTTTCAGGGGAGACAGGTGGGGACCTGCAGGTTGTAAAGATATTTCCTCAGGCAATCACAGCTTTCAATCACCTCTAACATGAGCCCCAGGGTGGGGGTCCCAGGAGCGGTGAGGGGTTCAGTCTCCACCTGCCCCCACCTGGCTGCACAGCCCCCTGGGGCCTTGGTTTCTCTCTTCGGCTGTACGGTATATGGCCGCTGCTTGCCTCTCTGTGCCTGCTTCCACAGGGGCTGGTGACAGATCTAAAAGGCTTTGCTGTGGTCACTGGGCTTCTCCAAGATTCTGCGATGTCATTTCACAGATGGGGAAACTGAGCCAGGAGAATGTGGCCAGTTTGAAACAGACCTTTGTATTTACCACCCCTAGCCCACCCATGCACACACACCCTGTAGGAAGTCTGGAGGTTGGAAGGTGGGGCAAAAGCCATACTTGTCCCAGGAAAAGGCTTTGCAAACACTCAACATTCCAAGAGAGACCTGACTTAGTCTGGGCAAGTGTGGGCTGTGGGCAAGAGTTAGCCCAGCAGAGAGGTGTGGGAATAGCATCGCACAAACATCAGCATGTGAGAAACCCTGAGACAGGAGGGCACTCACTCCTTCAAGGAAACTGTGAAGCCTCAGGAGAAGCTCTGCCATGGACTTGAGGCCCAGCAGTCACCAGCCCCCAGGAAGGAGGAGGGGTGAAGGGCCTCCCTCCTGCGTGGGGTCCCCCTGTGTCACTGTTTCACTTGTAGAAGTCAGCCGGGGACCTGGGCCTCCATCTCGGACATCAGCTTGTGAAATAGCATGTCGTGTGCGGACCCTACACAAGCTGCTCCAACAGCCCTTTGCAGCCTGGGTTGTGATAGGTGAGGCCTTGCTCTGCATTGGGTCCAGTTTATTCTGGCCACCCTGTTAACAAGCGAGGGAAGGACATTGCCACCCTGGCTGCAAACCCAAGCTCTTTGCATGCTAACATTCCCAGCGCAGGTTGTTCCCTACTGCTGCCAGGCCTCAGTTTCCCTATCTGTAAGTGGGAAGACAAGAAATCCTGGAAATTGTAAAGTGCTGTGATCTGTGGAGTCCAGGTGCCCTCTGCCACCTGGGTCCCACTTCCAGCCCTTGCTGCCACCTCTGCCACTACAGGGGATATTCTTCCTAAACAGCCCCCACCAGTATCTCCCCTGCCTGCCCAGAGGGCACTTACCTGATGTCGTAGCCGTACATGTCCTTCTCTGGGCGCCCGTGGACAATCCAGTGGGCCAGCTCTTGCCCACAGCCACCACCCAGCATCATTCCTGGTGGGTGAGCAGCCACAGTATCCAGTATGCCCAGAGCCTCCCTGCCCAATTCCGAGCCCCCTCCCCCTGTCCCCAGGAAGCAGCCCCCCAAGTCCTGGACCTAGCACCCCTGGAGCTGAATGCCTCCAACTGGCCCCCCAGCTCTCCTCTCTCGACTGTCAGGGTCTGAGGGCTTGAGTTCCTGGGGGCTGCATGGACCGCTGCCTACACGTACCTGCACTGTTGAAGCCACAGCCAAGGAAGAATCCTCGGAGCTCAGGTGCCTCCCCCATTAGGGGCTTGTGGTCAGGCGTGAAGGATTCTGGAAGGCAGAGGTGCCTGGTGTTTTCTACAGTCTGCACCCACCTGGGGTGGGGGTCTCTCCTGAGGGGGCAGTAATTGGGGCTTGGATCTGCAGATGCCTCCTTCACCAGACCCTACCTGTCCTTCAAAGCCACCCCAAGTGCCACCTCCTCCAGGGAGCCACCCTGATTTCTCCTGCCCCTATCCAACTGTCAGAGCCACCCTCCTATGGCTGGTCAGGTTCTGCTCCATAGGAGCAAATTTGTCTCATGGTTATCTCTATCTTTCAACCATCAAGAGGCCTTTTCCCACCCTCTGCCCAGTGCCAAAGCCTCCCTGTCATGGCACCATGATCCTGCCTTGTCATAGCTAGTGACTCATTACTTTTGTCCACCGGAGTGAGAGCACCATGGAGACATTGCCATGTCCTGAGGCCTAGCCCTCACCCAGTACACAGTGGGTCCTTGATAAATGTTTATTGAATGAATAAATGATCATAAGCTCTTTGAGAGAGAACACCAAGTATCCCACTCTCTGCTGCCTGTGTGCCTTAGGCTGAGGCCAGAACATGTGGCAGGGGAGACCTCAGGCACAATGGTAAAGAGCAAGGTCCTGGGTTTGAATTCTGACTTTATCCCTTACTAGCTGTGTGACCTTGGACAAGTCACTCGGCCTCTCTGAGCCTTAGTTTCCTCATCCGTGAAATTGAGGACTAGGAGTTAGTCCATTACAAGTATTTGTGGCATCCATTGTGTGCCAGGCTCAGGGCTTTGCCCTGGGAGGCTATGTGATCAAGCAAATCTGATCCCTTGGGGAGCTCATGGAAACAAGAGAGATAAACAGCAAACATGAAAATAAATAACATGGAACAAGGGAGCTGGGAGTGACCAAGGGCCCAGCTGCCTTAGGACCTTCTGAGGGATGGTATCTAAGCTCAGCCATGGGGTACTGGGGCAGGTGGGACAGCACTGCCAGCAGCAAAATGACTCAGTATTTGGGGGGGGGGGCGGCAGCCAGGTGGCAGGGAGGGTGGGGAGAGGATGGTGGGCTGGTCTGGGAGGAGGGCTCAGAGCCAAGATAGTTGTCGTTGTTATGTGCCACTGAGTCAGACCCGACTCATAGCGACCCCTTCTTGGGTTTCCAAGGTGGTATCACAACGGATACCACCTTCCTTCCAAGGAGTGGCACTGGGTATTTCTCCAAGTGGGTGGGGGGATTCAAGGAGGGGAGATACGTGCGATTAAGTCAGGAGACCCCTGAGCCGCTGGGCTGATGGGGCAGGGTGGAAGCCTCAGCTGGCCTCAGAGAGGGTGAGAGACCAGAGCAGCTCAGAGAAGGAAGGGTTTTGAGGATGGCAACAAGGAGTGGTTGGGGTCATGTGTGGGAGCTGGGACCCTCTCCAAACCAGGGAAAGAAGGGTGTTCTGAACATCTTCGAAAGGAATCTGAGGAGAGCTAGTAGGAGGGGACATGCAGGGGGCAAGGGTCTCTTGGTTGTTTAAAACAATGATTCAAGAGTGAACCACACGCAGGCACCTAAGGGCTCCAACAGTGCTAGGGGTTGCAGGGCCCAGATCGGTCCCTGCCTTGGGCCTAGCAAGAGAGCTCCTTGCCTGTGCACATGACACATGCCAATCTTAAGTCGGGAGCTGGACCCTTTCTGGAGGCCCAGGGACAGGACCACACTTGGCAGGAGAAACACCGATGTCTGCCCGTGACCTCCATCACAGCTGAGATACCAGAAACAGAAACAGTCCCCACACGTATCTCCCCCAAAGGGGCTCTGAGCCCAGCAGACCTCCCATCTAATTAACACAAGAGGCTCCTTGGGCTGTTCGTGCCTCAGGAGTTATTTTAGGCCTGGAGAGTCTCACTGCCGGGCCCACACAACTGTTGTTCTGGGGAGCTGAACACTTCATTACTATCCATGGTGGCCATGCAGGGACACCAGTGGGCTGGGGCAGCTCTTGACCCTCTCAGCCTCCTGGGCATCAGGACTCTCCCCTCTCTGGTCCAGCCCCGAAGAAGTGGCATTGCCTCCTCAGCCACTCTCTGCCCACTGACACTCATGATTGTTGCTTTGTCTTGCTAGGGTCAGGCCCAGCCAGGCACCCTGCATATGACCTCTCATTCCCCTGAGTCTCTGCAAGCAGGGACTCTGTCACCCACCTGACAGATGAGGGCACTGAGGTGCAGAGGGTCACAACTTGGGCACCTCAGCTGTAGGGCCACCAAGCTGCAACCCAGAGCCCCAGACACAAAGTTCCCTTTCTGAGGAGTGCACATCTTCCCACCCATACTTACTCTTGAGGGGTAAAGAAGGTGGTGGGCCAAGAGGGAGGAAAGGATCCTGGGGACACTGCTGGGATCTCACGGGGGCAGCGAGTCTCGGCCTGCACACGTATACGCATGATGCTACCGGTGCCTACTACATGTGTCCCCACAGCCCAGCACACTCATCTCCACAGCTCCACACACATGTCCCCACAGTCCTGCATTTATGTCCCCACAGCCCCACACACTTGTCCTCAAAGCCCTGCGTACTCATCCCCACAGTCCTCCACACTCATCCTCATAGTCTCATCCGCTCATCCCCATAGCCCTGTACTCTTATCCCCACTGTCCTACATCCTTGTCGCCGCAGCCCCACACACATGTCCACAGCCCTCACCCTTCAGGGCTGGGCTGGTGCTTCTGGTCTGGGAGCCTGCTTACACCCCAGGCTGTGCTTCCTGTCAAAGCCCCCACTGGCTGTGCTGTGTGCACTAGAGGCCCTGGGTCTCCCCCATCAGACAAGAGGCTGGTCCATGAGTGCGATCAGGTACTATCAACAGCAGGGAGCCACTGACTCAAGGAGGCCTTACCCAGCTCCAGGCCCCAGCACTCACCCGGGCCACAGACCGTGGACTTGATCCCCGTCTTCTCTAGCACGGGGACTCGGTTGATGGCACCTTCAATGTGCTGGGTGAACACGTCCCAGTCCAAGTCAAAGAGGCCGAAGGCAAACTTATCTGACACCTGTGTGAAAGGGTCAAGGACCGTGTCCTGTGGTCACTGGGAAAGGATGGTGTCCCCAGGAGATAGCCACCTCAAACCCTTCCTTCCAGCCTCACCTCTGGCCTCCTCGGGACAGGGGCAAGCTAAGCAGAGTCAGGCAAGGGGCTGGTGTGGTCACCCACAGGTCCCCTTGGTCTGTCTCCCCCACCATCAGGCCCTCAGCAGGGCCTATCTGCTCCTCTCCTGGGTAGGCCAGCCTGTGACTGCCACCCACTTGGCCTGCTTGTTGTAGTACCTCGACCCTGGCCACCTGCCTCCTTGCCTGCACCCATGCATCCTCCTAAATCAGTTTTGCTCTCAGGTCTCCCATGGGTACCACAACAGCTGACATAGAATCCCTTCCAAAAGGCCTCAGTGAGCCCACCGGCAGCCCACCTCCCCCACTGACCTGCCACATTGACCTCCATCAGTTCTGTAGGCACACTGGCATTGACCTCAGGCCTCTCCCCTCTGCCCCTCTTCCTCCTCACCCAGACCATCTATGGTCAGCTTATTCCTTCTCTGCTCAAACACCACCTCCTCCAGGGAGCCCGCCCTGACTGCCAGTCCAAAGTTAGTCCTTTTACCCCAATTTCTCTAGGCTTTTCCTCTACCTGCCAACTTTGCTCAATGCACAGATTGTGACCCAAAAATCACATTATATATTGCTTGTTTGTTTACTGTAAGTCTCCCCCCAAAATATAGGCACCGTGGATTTTTCTTGTCACTCCCTCTATTTCCCCAGAAAGTAAAGTACTCCCTGGCCCAAGTAGCCAACTAGCCAGTGCATTCAGGGACTAAATGCATGAGCATGGGGCAGGGATGGCCACATGCACTCAAATCCAACAGCCTCCAGGAGGGCACTTGGCCTGGGGAAGAGCTGTTGCAGCTGTGGGGGTAGAGTCAGTGCTGTCTGCTACTGGGCAATGGACCTAAAGTTTTCCCCATCTTATAAGGCCAGTAGCTTACAGTTTTGTGGCCTCTCACTGTTGATGTTTGAGGCACACCCTTCACCAGCCCCTGTTCTGGCCCCGGGGGGATGTTCTTTTCAGGGGTTTGGCCCTCATGGGGACTTGCCCCTGTCATTCCTCAAGTGTGCAGATAAAGAAGGTTAAGTAGGCAGGGGTGTCAGGAAGAGACTTTTCCAGGCTAAGAGCATCCCCCAACGTGTCACCCACAATGCTCCCTGGGAGGAAGTCCCCTAGGGACTCTCAGCTGCTCACCTCTTCCCAGAAGATGGGGTTAGCCTCGTAGCCACCCACAGATAAGGCGTCTCCCTGCAGACGGAGGTAGACGGAGGCATCATGGTCACGGACGTTGGGCATGTTCTAAATGGCAGAGCAGAGGGGCCTTAGTTAGCTGGGCTGGGCAGAGACCTGGCTCCTGCACCACTCAGCACCATCACCTCCACCAGGACACACAAGGTGGCACTGGGCCCTGAGGACAGCATGGGCCAGGGCCTTCTGCTTACATGCAGTGGGGAAATCATCCACATTCAGGTCTTCCCTTTCCCGTAAGATGACAACAAAGGACTAAAAAGGAAGGAGGGGATGGGTAGAGAGGAAGGGCAGGGACAAGTGTGCCCCATTCATCCCCAGCCCAACAGAGCCCACAAAGCTGAGTGCACATGGGCCCAGGGCCCTCTGAACACAAGACGGTTGGTGAAAGAATTCAACTGTTGGATCCAGGTGCCCACCATCCCCACACAGGCATTGTGCTCTGGAGAAGTGGGTCCCAGGAGATTGAGAACCTAGGGCACAGGAGTGAGGACTGAAGCCGACATCCACATGCCAACACCCCTACTTGGCAGGAGGTGGAGCTTCTTCTCTGGAGTCACAGCAGGGCCCAGAGAAGGTGCTGGACACTGATGTCAGGGTCGCACGAAAGCGGCTGTTCAACGCCCAGCAAGAAGCCCTGCAAGTGACTCTCTCCAGCTTCCACTCAGCTATAAAATCACTCTCAAAAGCAAAACTGCAATCAGAACTTCAGAGATATGAGTTGATGTTGGTCCACAAGACAAGGTGCTCTGAGAAACGAGCAAGCTAAGATCAAGAAAGAGTTGTTTAAGGGAGACAGGAGAACCAAAATCAGAAGTTCAGCAGGGGGGCTGGAGAAGATCATCTTTCAGATGTTAGGCTATAAACCATCAGGAATTAGAAATCAGGAGAGGAAAAAGGTGAGAAAAATCACAAGGTCAATCCTGAAGGTTTAACTTGAGAAAAACGAGGAGAGGAAAATTTCAAAACAATAATCCAAGAAGAGACTCAGGCTTAATACACACAGCTTTCTAGACTGAAAGGGCCTGTGAGTGCCCACCGACACCTGTGAAAGGAGGGGAACCTGTGCAAAGGCCATCAGTGCCGTAAAGTGTCAGAGCACCAGGCGAACAGACTGGAATAGGAAGGACGACACTCAAGGCTTTGCTGTGCTGTGGTGTCTCCAAAAAGATCTGCTGAAGTCCACATTCTACACCGGTGAAACTGACTTTGTTTGGGGAAATATGTTTTTCTTTGCAGATGTTTTGGAGTAACCAAAGAAGAGAAGAACAAAGGCATTCCTGGCCGTTTAAGAGATCTTAACCCCCTTCCCATCTCCCTATATAATCATGTTCACCCTCCTGCACAAGGAGACAGACATTTTAGAGACATGATTCTCACTGTCTCCTTGGGGATTGATACTCAATAAACCTTTTACTTTCCCTCTTCAACCTGTTGTGATCATTGGCTCTTCATGACAGGGGGTAAGGACCTTGTTTTCCTACAACATTATCAGTCAAATTAATGTCATGGCACCAGAGTAAACTGGTTCCTGGCCTTGGTCCCTTCTGATTAGTGCCTGAGTAGTGCCACTCCTCGGAAGGAAGTTTGGGCAATCTATTTCCATAGTGATATTGCTTCAGAAATCCAACTATGAGTCGGGTCTAACTCAATGGCAATAACAACAACAACAGTGTCTTGTGAAAAGGGAGTCACAGACAGGGAGGAGACAGCCTGGGAGGGCCCATCTATAAACCAAGGAATGCCCAAAGACAAGACAAGGGCCTCCCCTCAAGCCAATAAAGAGAGCATGGCCCTGCTCACACCTGGAATTCGGACTCCAGCCTTCAGAACATTGAGGCTGCGGGGCCCAGGTCTAGGACAGTCCAGATACAGAGGTGGGCATGAAGCCTGTCAGCACACAGCTGCCCAGACCCAGGGGCCTCTTGACCAGATGTGTAGGGGGCAGGGGGCAGGTGGGCAGCAGCAGCCTCCCAGGCACATGCCCCAGGCTCCCTGCTCTGGACCCACCTCAGCATGAAGAAAGCTGCTCTCTGACCCTTTCGGGGTTGGGGAGGGAGCTCCTGGCCCAGACTTAGACCACTGCCCCACTAGGGCCTCAGGAAGCCCCTGGTTATGGGTCAAATTATCTCCCCCAAATGTATGTTGCAGTCTTAAGATCTGTACTTGTGAACATAACCTTATTTGGAAATACTATAGGATCTTTGATGATGTTATCAATTAACAGGAGGTCACACTGGAGTAGGGTGGGTCCTAATCCCATCTGAGTGGTGTCTTTTAAAAGAGAAGAGACACAGACAGAAGGAAGATGACCATGTGACAATGCTGCAGCTATAAGCCAGGAACACCTGGGGCCACCAGAAGCCAGGATAGACAAGAAAGGATTCTCCCTCGATGGACAGAACATGGCCCTGCTCACGTCCTGAATTTCAACAGCCAGGCTCCAGAGAAGTGGGGGGATACACTTCTACTCTCACAAGTGTGGCTCTTTGTTATGGCAGCCCTAGGGAACACATACGGCCAAGGTCTCAGAAACCCCTGTGTGGCCACGGGATAGGGGGGAGCAGGTGAACCTTGTCCCCTAGCCCAAATGACCTTTTTCCTCCAATGAAGTTTCAGAGCCATAAGCTGGAGGTCATCCCCCATGCTCTAGGATAGGCTTCACTGTCAGGCGCAAATGGAGGACCCTTCCCTATAAGTCATGCCACCCTCAGCTCAGCTTGGACCTCAGAATTCACAGCTCAAACTCTGCCCTGTTTCTCCCTGAAAGGGTGCCTCAAAGTCAGGCATTTCAGTGGAACTGGAGGATGGAGAGGCCTCTGTCCTGGGTCTGTGGACACTCTCGACTGAAGTGGGTCCCCAAGACCCACCCCCAGCACATAGCCCCCCTCTCCTATCACCCCTGAGGCACCACAGGCCTTCTGGGAACCCACTGCAGCCTGAGGGCGACCTCTGGCGGCCACATCCAGGAGCAGCTCTCCCACAGAGCAGGCGAAGAATGGCCTGTCTGGCCTCCCCAGACGCCAATTGTGGTGGCACACAGTAGCCCAAAAGGAGCCCACAGGAAAGGGCTGCCCAGCACATCCAGCCAGCAGCTCCTGCCCCAGCTCCACACTCATCCCCACTCTGTCCACATATTGTCTTCCAGTGACAGGAGGGAAGCCAGGCACATGCAGGTGGGGACAAGGTTCCCAGCACAGTGGGTCCAGGCATCTGGACTCTCTGTTGGAGCCTACTGACTCCTGACTTCAAACAATGGAAGCTCGTCTCCTTTTCTATCAACTCCACCCTCTTGTTCCATCTCTCTGAACTGCCAGGTCCCGTGCAGCCCTCCTTAACCACCTATTCATCCTCACGGCTTCACCCAGCCAGCTTCCCTGCTGCACCCACCCCATCAGTGTCCCCCTCAGCCTATTCTAGAATTGTTTATGTAATTCTTCACATGTCCTCAGCCCCAAGAGGGCAAGAACTAAGTCTTTTCCTCTGTTACAGCCCCTGAGGGACAGATGGATGGGAGATGGATGTTTGGATGGATGGATAGATGGTCAGACAGATGGAGGGCTGGATGGAGGGAGGGATCAACAGAAAGATGAATGGATGGAGGGCTGGTGAGATGGGAAGAGGAAAGAAAATAGATGGGGGGATGGAGAGATGGTAAAGTGAAGGATAAGTGGAGGGGGTGGAGGAAAGGATGGAGGGAGGGATGGAAGGAAGGGTGGAGGGAGGAATAGGTGGAGGGCTCGGTGACAGGAGGAATCAAGAAAGGGAAGGAGAAAGAGGAAAGATAAATGGTGGGATGAAGGGATCAATGGGAGAAGGAATGAACAGATGGGGGAGTCTATGGATGGACAGCGGGAGGAAGGAAGGGAAGTGGGATGGGTAATGACTAGGTGGCAGGAAGCCACCACCACAGAAGAGAGGAGGTGAGTGAGGAGGAAAGGGGGCAGGGGACCTCAGAACCATGGCTTTCCCTGGCAGAGGTGTCTCCAGGGTCCTCTGGAGGCTCTGAGGGTACAAATCAGTGCTCCCCAGTATGAAAACCTCAGGATTCCCAGGGATGCCAGGGTGCAGAACACAGCAGTGAGCCTGGCTGCCCAAGCAGGGCAGGCAGGACTATGGTTTGGGGTTAGCATGGTTAGCTATGCCCTAAGGCCAAGGGGGTTAGGCATTAGGGCTCCACCTGCATTGCTTCATTTACGTCTCAAAGTACCTGAGATACCCATGGTGAAGCTAAGGGAACTGAGGCTGGGTGGTGAGGGGCCCCATGCAGGTCACACAGGCTGCACCTAGTTGAGCCAGGCCCCTGTGCCTCTCCATGGCCCGACAGGAAGCACCTGGGCTCTCTCTCACCTGGATGCCCTCAATGCGCTCAGTGACGACGTAGGCATGGTGCATGGCCACCAGCGGGACCTTGACTCCGGCCATCTGCCCTACAGCACTGGCCCACACTCCTGCAGGCAGAATACGTGGTCAGCTCTGCTACGCTTGGTTGGGGCTGCCAGCCAGCCAAGGGGCATAGCCAGAGTTGCTGCCAGGGCACACCTGGCCCTCCCCTCCCCCAGATGGCGAGGCCAGGCCAAGTGTGGGAGCAGCAGTGGCCACTGTTGCCAAGAGAAGCCCTGCCCTCACCTGCACAGTTGACCACGATGGGTGTCTGGATGGAGCCATATTTGGTCTCTACGGCTGCAACCCGCCGCACTCCAAAGTCATCTGTCCGCACTCGGATGCCGGTCACTGGGCAGTTCTCAATGACCTGGGGTTAAGAGAGCTGCTTCCAGGGCCATCTGGGGCTCTTGTGGTCACTGATCACCCATTCTCACCAGATACCCATCCTCAATGGGAGCTGGGGCCACATGGCTCCCCTTGAGTGACACTATTGGGGCAGCAAGGTGGCCGCAGTGCCGGGAACTCAATCAAATCCACATATCCCTGGATGTGGAGAACTTGACCCAGAAAGGTTGGCTCCTCTTCAGGAAGTGAAAAAGCAGCTGAGTGTTTTCTTAAAAAGCAAGACTGTGACTAATATCTCCTGTCTGTGAGAAAGGTCACAGAACCAGGTTCTAATATGGCTGCTCATCGAAAGGTAGGAAGTTTGAGTCCACCCAGATCTGCCTCAGACAAAAGGCCTGGTGATCTATTTTCAAAAACTCAGCTACTGAAGACCCTCTGGAGGGTAGTTCTACTCTGACACACATCAGGGTGCCATGAGTCAGAGTCAACTTGACAGTACATGGTATGTATACATGTACTTATACATAACTATGTATTTCCAGTTATAATACACATATACTTATATATGATACACATAGGTATATATATATATATAATACATACTTATATATGATACACATGTTGTTGTTTGTTGTTGTTATGTGCCGTCAAGTCAGCCCTGACTCATAGCGACCCTTCCTTGGGTTTCTGAGGCAGTATCACTATGGAAGTAGGATTGCCCAACCTTCCTTCCGAGGAGTGGCTGGTGGGTTTGAACCGCCAGCCTTCTGGTTAGCAGTCAAGTGCATTAGCCACTATGCTACCAGAGCTCCCATGATACACATAGGTATACATACATATATATCTATTTATATATATATATATATATATATATATAATACATATTAATATATAAATCTTCATAGAAAAAAGTGTTTATAACAATGATCAGACTTACTGGTCTGATAGAGACTGGTGGAACTCCAGAGACTATGGCACTTAGACACCCTTCAAGCCTGGAATTGAACCCACCCCCAGGGATCACCTTTCAGCCAAACAACAGACAGGCCCATAAAGTGAATAATCACACCTGTGAGGAACGTGCTCCTCAGTACTGTCAACCACCCAAGACCAAAAGGGCAGCTTTTGCCCCAAAACAAAGCTCAGAAGGCAGGAAAGAAGGACAAATGGAAACAGGAACCCAGGGAGGAAGTGGGAAGAGAGCTGTTACATTGAGGGGATTGCAGCCAATGTCACGAAACAAAATGTGCATGAATCATTGAATGGAAAATGAATGTGCCTTGTAAAGTTTCTCCCTAACTACAATTTTTTTTAAAAAGTTTGGTGTGAAGCAGATTAAAATGTCAAGACTTGTTACCTCTGGGTGACTTTAATCTCTTCTTTTTGTTTCTTTGTCTTTTCTCATTTTTTTCTACAATTACTTGTGTAATTGAGACCAAGGAAGAAGGAGAGATTTTGAGAGGCCCCACTTGTCCACAGGCCAGGCCACAGAAGGAGAAAGAGGAAGGAAGTATCAGTGTCTGGATGCAATGAGGTTTGGTGCTCCCTTTGCAGAGAGCTGGGCCCTTAGTACCTGGGCTCCTCGGGCAGTAGCAGCCCTAGCCAGGGTGGTACAGGTGCCGGCAGGGTCCATGGTCCCGTCGTGTGGCACATACAGGGTCCCGTAGAGGTCATCCACGTTCATCAGTGGGTACAGTGCCTTGGTCTCCGCTGGGCTCAGCACATGCGACTCCACACCATAGACCTTGCCCAGCTAGGAGACCCGGAGGAAATGACCAGCCCAAGAGGACCTCGCCTCAGGCCCTCTCTCCTCTCCCGTCTAGGCCTCCCAGGCCTTTCTCCAGGTCTGCTGACTCCTGGAAGCCTTGACCATCACCATGACCCCACCTGTCCCTGTCCCTTGAACCAGCTACTGCATAAGAATGTGACCTGGGCTAGCTGCTCAATGCCCCCTCCGAAAATGGGGTGGTAATAATTTCTGTAAGGAGTCCAGGTGGCACAGTAATTAAATGCTCCATTGCTAAGAGAGAGGTTGGCAGTTTGTGGAAGGCTGAGGTGGAAGGCCAAAGCGCTGAGGTGGAAGGCCAAAGGGGCCCCTCACTGAAAATGACAGAACTTTAACAGACTAGCAGGCATGATTAAAGTAGATATTCATCATAGTGACTAACTTGCTATTTTTCCCTTCCTTTTGCTTTCTTTTAAGTAAATAGAATAGTCAACTTTTTATGGACACCGAGTTATTTAGGTTTGATCATTTCAATTATACATTCTTCCAAGCATAACCCTATCCCATGACTTGTTTCGGCTGAGAACCATAGCCTATGAACAAAGACGACCCTGGAAAGAGGGACACTGAGTCTGGAGTAACCAGGGAAGAGAAGAACAAAGACATTCCTGGCCATGCATGGGATTTTCCACCCCCCTTCCCATTTCCCTATATAATCCTGTTCACTCCTCTGTGTGGGAGACATTTTGGAGACATGATTCTCTCTGTCTCCTTGGGATTCGATACTCGATAAACCTTTTGCTTTCCCTCTTCAACCTGTCATGATCATTGGATCTTCGCAGCAAGGGGTAAGGACCTTCTTTTCCTACAACAAGTTCAAACCCACCAGCTATTCTGAGGGAAAAAAGAAAAAAGAAAAGACCTGGCAATCTGTTCCTGGCAATATACTTATGACTTGGAAACCCTATGGGGCAGTTTTACTTTGTCACAGGGGGTCAATAGGGGTTGGAAACCACTCAATGGCACCCAACAAAAACAACAGTTTCTGTAGTTGCTGTGCTAAAGAATTTAGATCAGTACCTGGCACTGAAGGGCTTATTCTACAAAATAAATAAAAATGATCCCCAAGGGTCTAATATTTGGGGCCTGAAGCTGAGGCTTCACGGGCCAGACCAAACCCCCTATAAAAAACTCACTGCCATCAAGTCGGATCTGACTCATAGAGACTATGGTAGAGACCAAGTCAGCCTCTGTCTCAGAAGCCCTCAGTGCCTATTAGGCCATGCCCCCCATCACATTTGATTAGTCTGAGGGCAGCCAATCCCATGTCCTCAGAGGTGGTCCCTTGGGACAGGCTCCTGCCAACTAGAGAGAAGCAGAGCCAATCAGAGTCTCTGTGTGGGAATTCTGGATGAAAAGTGGCAGGAATGCTGCCCTCCAGCATGGGAACTTGAGCTGGGGGCTGGAGGCTTTCTTGGAACCCTTGAACTGTTGAGCTAGTGGAGGAGGAGAAGTCAGAGTGGGCAATGTGTGTCTCCTGAGACCATGGGATGGGGTCCCAGGCGTTCTAATGCAGCCCGCTGCCTCTGCCTCCTACCCTGGGCACCCACAGGCACTCAGCACCTGGCGTATGAACTCTGCTAGCCAGGTGGTTGAGCAGGTATTCAGTCAGTGCTGAATAAGGGATGGAGTTTCTGGAGGAGTATCCCTCCCCCATGCCTTGGAATTTGGTGCATAGCCTGGTTGCTCTGGATGGGGAACAAACCCCACCCCAATACATGGCCTTCCCTAAGTTCCTGAGTGTTTCTTGCTACTGCCCTGCCAGCAGGCGAACCTCCCTGTAGGCACCTCATAGGATGAGAATAATCCTAACTTCCATTACTGGCCCCGTCCTGACTTCCAGGCACCATGCATGAGCACTGTAACATCATCCCCATTGTACAGGTGAGAGAACTGAAGCTGGGGGCAGGGTGGCCAGCAAGGGCAGGCTAGGAATGGGTCTTTGGTCTTTGACGTCCTGTCCCAAGAGGCTCACACTCACCGACATGAGCCGCTTGTACTCATCCAGCCGCTGGCGGTTGGAGGCGATGAAGAGACCCCCATTCTGGATCCAGCCCGTGTGCAGACCTGTCTCCTGCTCCAGGTCATGGCTCACCACACGACGCGTGTGGGCCAGCAGCTCCACCTCCACGTCACTGGGCCGAAGCTGCCACAGCAGGCCTGCAAGAGGGCCAGGTGGCTGTCAGCTCTCAGGGAGTTGGCAGGGGCACCCCTTTCTCTAAGAGGCCCAGCATGGCAGGGACTCCATACTAGACAGAGAGCTCAGTCTTTCTCTGCAGGCTATGGGGAGCCCCACAAAGTTGCTAAGCAGGAGATATCGGGGTCAAAGCTGTGTCTTAAAGTCACCCCCAACCCTAAGACAACTCACAGAGTGACCGTATCAAAGGCCCCAACTGAGCTGTATGGGAATGACCTCATCCGATCCTCTGAGCATCTCCAGGAGGCAGGCATAGATCTTTCAGAGATGGAATGAAGGTGGCACAAAGCAGTGCTGTCCCTTGCCCAAGAGCACTGCAGTCAACAGGGGTGCCGGGACCCCAACTCAGGATGGACTGAAGCCCCAGTCCATGCTATCACTAACAGTGGGAAAGTAGGGGGCCAGGGAAGTGGTGGGTGTGACACTGAAGGGAAAGCTGGGAGCCCAGCTGAGGCAGGTCATGGGGGAAGGGCAGAGAAGCAGTGGGGTACATGCCAGCCCTCGAGAGCGGCTGTGAGCACCTCTGCCCAGCTCCTAGATCAGTGACCTGACACTGGTAGCTGAAATTGGCCAAGGTACAAGTTTACAGCACAGAAATCAGCAGATGCTGCAAGTCAGGAGAGCCAGATTACCAGCACTATTTAAAGGGTTAGGGCAGAAGGTTGACTGCCCTGGCGACATGCACATAGTAAGTGCTTAATACACACTGCCAAGCTACTCCCGATGAGAACTGAAGAAGCACCTGGTGCATGGACAACCCTGCTCTTCATCCCCCTCAACAGCCCCTTCGCAAGCCCCTCAACCTTGATGGCTCTCCTGGGGAAGGGGCTTCCACTCTCTGAGCAGACAGCAGCCTGGGTGCCCAGCTCCGGTCACAGCTCCAGTCCCAGCTCCAGCCGTGGAGGTGCATCTCCCCTCTCCTCCCCTCCCAGCTCTTCAAAACCATGGGGAGCAAGAGGTTCCCTGAACTGCCCTCCTTCAGCCTGACCTGTCACCCTCCCTCAGTGCTCCTCCCCCTCCAGCTCAGTTGCCACTAATAGCCAGGGCCTGCAGGCCACGGCCCTTTGCCCTGCCCAGCCCCTCCCACCCTGCCTATACCCCAGTTCCATACCTGCCGTGTGCCAGGTGGTCCCTGAAGTCAGCCACTCCCGCTCTAGCAGCACGGGGCTGCTCACACCCAGTTTGGCCAGGTGGTACAGGGTCTGGCAGCCTAGGCTGCCCCCACCAATGACCACCACATTAGCTTCACGGGGTAGGGGCCGGCTTGGGCCTTGGGCCACTGCTGAGGGGCCCTGCTCCTCCTTCAGAGTGCGCTGGTATGGCACGCTCTTCTCAGCAGTGGGGCCCACAGTGTTGGACAGGGCCCGAAGCCCCAGGCCCTGGGACAGGTTCTGTCGAGGGTGTGCAGTGGCCACTCGCAGGGCCCGGCTCAGTGAAGCCATGGGGATTCCAGTCTGAACACCTCGGGGCACTGGGGAGAGGGGGACACAGTGGGACTATTAGTGAGATCCCAGGGGGCCTGGGCTACCATGCTACTCCCTCCTGCCACTTCCCATGGCATCCATTAATTCATTTCCACATTAATTCATTTATTCCTTCATTTGTACACTCATTCATTTGACTGTTCATTCGTTTACTTATTCATTCTGTGAGTTTCTATCCAGTGTCTGGTATCCATCAGGCTCTGTGCTGAGCCCAGGGGAGACCGTGGGACAGGCAGGCCCCTCCAGCCCTAGAGAAGGAGGATGAAGAAGAAGAGGGCCATTATACTGAACTGAGACCCAGAGCAGTGGGTGACCAGTGAGGGAGGGGCAGGAAAACAGGAGAGGCCTTGAGGACAGACAGACAGAAACCAGAGGGAGTCAGGGTCCTTTGGGACACTCAGGACGCAGAAGCAGTGCTGAGAGAATCATGGAGGACTAGGGCCACAAGGGGGCCACCTGCCTGCCTTGAGAGTCCTAACAGAGCTCAAGACACTTCCCAGGTGAAATTTTGAAGGGGTCCACACAGCCATGACCCTGTGAGTTCTATATTTGAGGAAGAGGCCCTTGTGATGTGGTGTGATGTGGGACAGGGACATGGAGGGCACAGAGAAGGGGATGGGGATGAGGGTGGTAACATGGCGGAAGCACAGGGAGGGGGATGAGGGTTGAGGGGACAAGGGTGGGGAGTTGGGGGTAGAGGACACAGGGGGTAGAACACAAGGAGGGGTGGGAGGAGACAAGGGCAAGGGGATGAGAGTGAGGATGTGGGGGATGAGGGCAGGGTGGGGACCAGGGCAGGGGGCAAGAGAACAGGGACATAGGAGGGTGGGAAGAAGAGGGTAGGGTCAGAGGGGATGGGAACAGAGGGGGCAAGGGGAGGGGAGGGGGTCCCTGACGGGTGTGGTGTCACTTGCACAGGCAGATGGCAGGGCCAGAATGGAGGTAGCTGGAGAAGGGGAGGGGGCATGAACCCTGTGGGATGGCATAGACAATCCTGAGACAGGCACATTCACCCCCCCAGCCTCATCTCAGTCTCTCATGCCTCATAGCCCTTTGGGACCCAAGGCAGGTCATAAACGTCTTGGCATCTAGGGCTCCCATCCTCTCAGGACCACCTGGTCCCAGGTCCAGGATAAGGGCTCAGGAACAGGACTAACTTCCTTCCCCAACTCCTCCTTTAATGTCCTCCCATTGGCCTTTGAGGCTCACCTGACATGCTCCCTCCTTCAGGGAGTCCTCCCAGATCTCCTTGACCCAGAAAATTATAATAATAGTAATAAGTAGAATGTCCTGGGAGCCACATCATCGAGAGAGAAGGTGCTGACACATCTCCCTGCCGTGGGTCCTGCACCCATGCAGAGGGAAGGGTGCCTCATAGGGCAGGCCCAGGGCTTCCTGTGCACCTTACAAAACTGACCAGGAAATTCACTGCAGCAAGACTGGTGAGGTGTGGGAGTGGGCCCTGCCTGTGTTAACATTCATAACTGGTATTAGCAAAGGAAGGAACCAGCTTCCAGTACATACCACCTGCGAGTAGGTTACCTGCACGCTCAGGTGACAGTTGCAAAGATTCTATATAGACAATTGCTGAGGTTCACAGGACTAGGCCTCCATTTTATAGAGCAAGAGACTAAGGCTCGGAGAGGCTCACTAAGGTGACGGGTCACCTGGCTGGTGACTGCTTGCACTGGGTGCCAGGCCATGCCTGTGACCCGGAATCTGTCCTCTCCTGCCCTTTCTCCTAACACTCTGCCCACAGATAACCAGGGCCTGACTACTGCCCTTGCCCTGTCCCACCATCTCTGGTGGGTGCTCCAAGCTTGTGCTAGGCAAGACCCCTGTCCTGGGCATAGTGGGGATTCGGAAGGGGCTCTCAGGCTGGCCAGCGCTGCCCCCATCTGGTAACCCTTCTGCCTGCCTCCTGCCCAGGGATGGCCGAGGACAGGACGGAGGGGCTCATCTCTGCACATACCTTTGCTCTGTAGAGTGGTGTCAGTCTCCCAGGAGCCCCAGAGAGTCGTGTCCTAAGGATGGAAATTCAGAACAAGATGGTTGCACGTGGAAGATTTTTGTCCCCACGCTGTGGAGCCAGAATACCTGGGATTGCTCACCTGGGCCTGCCCTGGCCCAGAGCCTCCTTCCTCCCTCTGACTCCCCAAGTGGATGCTGCTGGCCAGGAAGCTGCCACAGGCCCGTGCACTGCCAACCAAGCCAGTCTAGGCACTTGCATGGGCAGGCTGGGGGTAGCGGCTGGCAACAGGCAACAGGGTAGCCCGATGCCTCCCACACACACACCAGAGAGGCAGCTGCTCCAGCCTGTTCCTGCTCTCCTCTCCAGCTCTCGCCCTGTGGGGCCCTCCAATCCCCAGGGGTAAAGGTACAGCACAGATGGAGGAGCCTTGAGCAGGGGCTGACCCTCGGAGCTCCAGTAAATGGGAGCACAGAGGTACCTGCAGCAGTTCGTAGGAGGGTGACAGGAAGCAGGATGAGGAAGCACCTGGCAAGGTGCCTGGCAGGGCCTTCCCCAGGAAGGAGGGTTGGAGATCCTGGAGACCTGGGGCTCCCTGGAGAGGTGTGCCGAGGTCCCCAGCCACCCACAGGGTGCCCCGTGCTGAAACATACAGTACATGGATCCTATAGGCCCAGACAGAGGGAGGTCCGGCAGACAGGTCAGCTCCACCCCATCCAGCCCCTCCTGCCTGGGGGAGGGCTCGGCCTGCCTCCCCTTGGAGAGGATGGGCTAGTTCCCTGGCCCCAGCCAAAGCTGTGCCTGACACACTCCTTCCTGCCAAGAAGGGGCAAAGCCTAAAGCCCAGCCTCTCCTCTCCCCCTAACCCTCCCCAAAGCCAGCGGCCAACCCTATGTTACCTCCCACAATGGGGCAGGGACACACCACCCACCACCCAAGCAGAGCAAGGCAGTGAATCTGGCCATTAACTCCTGGGTGACCAAGAAAGGTTACCTCCCATCCCAGCCTCCCCTCCTAACCTCATCTCTTAAACAGGGTAGCAGGGCTACTGTGCTACTTGCACCTACTTGTACCAACCCCTGCCCCTGCACAGACGTGGCTTAGCATGGGCCAGGACAGGAAGTGCTGGCACTCAGTGGCATCCAGACAGGACCCCCCCCCAGCCATGCTCAGAGACTTGCTGCCAGATCCCGCCTGTGCATGTGCATGTCGAGGGATAGGCTCACTGCCCTCAAGGTGGGTCAGAGGGTCTCAGCTGGGCTCCATCGTGCCCTTTAGACCCCTGGTTCATTCCTCACCTGCTGAGACCCCCAGCTCCGGCCTCCACCTGACTGTTGGGGACACCAGGGCCCAGAGAGGGAGCTTCAGGTCACACAGCAAGCATATCCCAGTCTGTGTCAAGGGCACTCGTCACCCTCAGGCCTTGAGAAGGCACAGCCCAGGGTTGGGAGCTGGGACACTGAAAGGGGCTGTTCAGACCCCCTGACACCATAACAGTATGGCGTGTTGGTCTGTCCAGCAGTCTGCCTGTCTTGCTGCCAGCTTGTTTGTCCTCTACAGTTACCAAGTGCCTACTGTATACAAAGCAGGGACCCAAGGGCCAGGGTCCACCATGAACAAAAACCAAGTGAGGGGCAAGCTGCCCTTCTTTCCAGCAGGGACCCAAGAGAGCATTTTGGAGGAAGCTACCACCATTTCCAGCCTCCACCATGTGGGCCGAGAGCCTGTTGACAGTCCCCCACAGCCTCCCACCAGCATAAGGCTCCCTTGGGGATGTGCAGGGTTCACGGGCTGTGGGGAGACCAGGAGAGGGAACTCTGTAGACAGTGGGGCCTGGCCAGCAGCCAGAGACAGGGCTATGGGGTGGGGCTGTCAAGGATGAGGAGGACAGAAGGCCCAAGGCTCCTTAGAGCCCTGGACAGGGGAGCATGGGAGAGGGTCGCAGTGGTGTCACTGCAGCGCAGGGCAGCAGCCAGCAGCCAGGTTCTCCTGATCGCAACAGCTTCTGCAAAACTGTCATTAGCCAAGTGCACCATGATCCCTGGACTTTGGACAGAGGTGAGGGCTGGAGGGCCAGCCTGGCTGTACCTCATGATTTGGGGATCTGTCACTGACCAGTCCACTGAACACCCGGCTCAGATGTGGAGAGGTGGAAGGGCACTGGTCTCCCCCTCCATCAAGAAGTGGCCAGGGACATGAGGAGGGGGCCCTGCTGTCCACCTGCCCATCACTGAGCCTCCGTTTCCTCATCTGGGAAGTAGGGACTACAACCCCAGCAACACCAGGCCCTTGAGTGTTCTATAAATGCCCCTGATCATCACTATCTATACCTTTAGTGCCCTGTGAAAAACTCCATGGCAAGAGCTGACTCCCAGGTAGAATCGTGGCAGTGAGGTTGCCTCCAGGCCGCAATCCCTCCCCCAGCCTCTGGCCTCCAAATTCAGGCGGGGACTCTGGTGGACACGCCCTTGCCCACGGGAGGGGGCCTGCCGCTCCTGGCTCAGCTCGCCCTTCTTGGCAGACCTCAGCCAGCCCTCGCCCCCGCCCCTCTGGCCAGGCTCCCAATGCCTGAGGGATGTGTCTGCAGGCCGCCCTCTGACTGGGCAGAAGTCCAGGGCGGAGCAGGGGGAGGTTGTGAGCCGTGGGCGTGGGGGGTGGGGCGCTCATCTACAGGGCCTGGTGAAGGGAGGAGAGGGCAGTCAACAAGAAAACTACAGGCATAGTAATAATACCAACTGTGCCTTTGAATGGCAGACCCCCTGTCCCAGCCACACTGTATTCCTAGCTCCTGGCACCTTGGCAGCTGGTGTGAAGCCCTTGCGGGGGGGGCAGGAGAAGCGGCTACATGGTTTATTTATATCATCTGGGGAGATGCCCACCTCGGGACAGGAACTCCTGTTACCCACTGTAGGGATGAGACAACAGAGGCAGCACACGGAAGGGGTGCCAGCCCCAAGCAGCTGGCAGCCAGAAAAATTTTGAGCTATGT